TTTCAAGAAACCTCGAGAATCTCGATCAATGGCTCTTCTTCATAGTCGTACAAGACCGTGAACTTACTAGAATAGCCGTGAACTGGCCTTTTTCACCTCTTCTCCCAGTTTTTTATCCTTTTCGTCCAACTTTTGACTTTGATGCTGGTTTCACCTGTTAAATCCTGAAACATGCTAAAACATGGGAAACCTAGCGTAAAACCAACCTTTAAGGAGTGAAATTGCCTCAAACACCTAAGTAGAATGGGGGTAACACATGTACATTTCAGCCTGAATCGCTTATCCACTTTATCGTTGTGAAAACAACCGGGAGACAAAGACCTACACTTGTGTACTGTAGACACCACTTTTTGTCCGGGATAATCGTTTTATTGAAAATAATTATTGTCACATCATACTAAGATTATATTTACAAAGAAGTGGAAGATAGTTTGGTTGAGACTAGCAGTTGCAAGTCAATATGAACCAACAATTGTCAAATTTGCTCCTAGTCGATTCTAGGGCATAGTTAGCTAAAATAGGATCGGTTTAAGTTAAGATTAGTCGTGGCAAATCTTAAATATAAGTTCTCAATTGGATGGAAGAAATGGCTATAGTGCAAAGTTTGTTGTACACTTTGGATTTGGATTCGACATTTGAAATGAGACTAATTGAATAGTGGAATGAGCTTTATTATCAAATATTCAAAGTTGATACATCGTACAACTTGGAAAATGACCTCCAAGTAAAGCGAGAATTAGAACTAATTACAAATTGAAGTGATTGCCTTCCTACTTTGAAGCCAAACAAATTGTGTACCTACAAAAATAAAAGAGAGGAAAACATATTAGTTTTGGCCCAAATTAAAATTATGAACCCAAAACAGAGCCCAATTTGGCCCAAAACAGAGCCCAGGTTCAAGACTAGACCAGGCCGGATACCGGCCCAAACCCAACAGGCCCAACTCGGCCAACGACTTCAGTCCAAAAACCAACCATAAGCCTACCTTTCACCAATGCGGTCTAACCAAATCCTATCCACAGCCGACCTCAACAGGGTGGCACGCTCTTCAAAGTCGATATAAAGAAATGCTCGAATCAGAGAGCGACACATGGCGGTTTAGTTTGCTATAAATGAGTTCTGTGAGCTCTTTGTTGAGGGGGACGGATTGGAGAAGGAAAAACGGAGACACAAATAGAAATTGACATCCCAAAATAGAAAGGATTTTTCCTTCTTTGGATTCTTGCTTCTTGCTCATAGTTCAGTAGGGGAAATAAGAATCGTGTGTCTGGAGAAACAGATTTGGGGGATTGAAGCAAAAAAGGCCAGTCTTGGGCCTAGAAATTAATGTGCAGATTTGGAGAAATAGATCGTGTCGTGTACAAATTAAAGTACAGTTAGATAGCATATTTCTGGGTTTTTTTAACACGCAAATATCACTTTTTAGAAGTCAATGGATCAATCAGAATCCAAGTCCAACAAAAACATCCAAACACAAAATTTAAGAAATACACAAGTCCACAACCAAATCCAAACAAAACCATCCAAATCAACAAAGCACTATAGAAATGAGTTAAAAACTTACCCTCTTGTAATAGTTCATGGATTAGTTTAGTAGATTAATATATGAATCCATCAATAATAGCTATGAAGTTGTTCTAGTATACCTATAGTTTTCTTAGCCCATAAACCACAAGCAGTGGCTGTGAGACCAAAAGCAAGACTTCATTTTTCTTTTTTTATATATAAAAATCATTGATTAATGAGTAATGATCATAACTGTAAAAAATTCTTCTATTTTCCTAAACCTTAGATCCCAAATATGCAAACCCAACCATATTCAAAAACCCAGATATGCAACTCAATTTCAAGTTCGCAAAATATTTTTTTTTGTTATCCCTATTCTTCTAGTTCAAAATCCCTGGTCACTAATATCGGTTCAGGATAAACTCACCCATCTAGACTATCTTCGGATCTGCAAAAAAACAGAGAAGAAAGGTATCGTAATCTCGTTTTTTAAATCAAAATAAAAGTCGGATCTAGACTAAATCATAGAAAACACGCGAAGGTGTAGGTGTAGGTAATTAAGCAAACCAGGTACTCAGTACGTCAAACATTCACCACATAATTCTATGTCAGGAGATTCTAGGAGAGGCACATCAGTCAGCATATGGAGAACGGAAGCCAAGGCCTGAGCGCGTTATGAACTGAATCCACGATGGTTCATGTCCTGTATAGGGCTGGCTAAGAATTTATCTCATTAAAGTTTCTTATGGAAATTCTAAGTAGAGACCCTAGACAAACCATTGAGAACAATATGAAATAAGAAACCATTATAGTAGCAATGGCGGTTATGAAGGGGGAGTGCCATAGTGTCATGGTTGCCTTGAGAAAGTAGCTAGCCGTGTAAGTGATTTTTGAGAAATGGGTGAGTTATAAGTCGGCCAAGTACCACACGAATTGGAGGCAAGGGTTTATAGCTCCAGGTTTATAAGGTAAAGGAAGTATAATCCTTGCAGCAGAATTACCTCAAGTGAGACTTTAAGTTATCATCAATGAACAAAATTCGAGGTCGAAATTTTTTAAGGAAGGAGGAAATGTGACACCTCAAATTAAATTTAAGGTTCAAAAACAAGTATTGAATGAGCTGGACCAATAAATCGACTCGAAATGTTGTCCCGTCACGCCTTATGCCCAAGTGGGGAATTAAAAAGGATAAGTGGCCACTCAAAGCTGCTCGATGCTAACGAGCTTGGTCAGAATCCCTTCTATGGTCAAGAGGAAATATAAGAAGTGAGGTAAACTATACCGGACAAGCAACAGACATCATCGAAGTACATTTAGCTAGAGTAAATTCTTGAGGCAAGGAAGTACAAAGATGGTTTCAAGCAAATTTCGGGGACGAAATTTTTATAAGGGTGGAGGAAATGTTACACCCCATTTTTTTTCTAAGGCAAAATGACAATTATGCCCTTGGTCCAAATTTGTCAAATTTCACCGTAATGTCGAGGAGGACTAAAAATGTGAACTATCGGTTCAAGCGGTGTCGAATTTCGACATCAAATGAGAAAGTTCCGGACATTAATCGAGTTTTGGATTAAACTCACCCAGTTCCTAATTAAACGTCAAGTCCCAAAAATACCCCTTTAGTTTAATTAAACCTACCAAATCCGAGAGCACCATCTAATTAAACCCTAAACCGTCTCCGCTATCCTGTTCGGCATGATATGAGGGCGGCGGGAAGAAAGCGGCAGAACTGAACGTCGGGGGCGAGCGGGATCTATGGCCGCAAAGCGGTAGGCAGCCCTCCCTACTACGAGCGCTGCTAGCTTAAGCAAGACCGGGCGGGATCTGTGCCTGCAGAGCGATGTGCAGTCCTCCCTACTAAACAGCGTCTTAGCGACCAAGCAACCTCGTCTCACGTTGTTATTGCCATCCCCCTCGCTACTGCGAGAGCTGTTAGCTTAAGCAAGCTCGTCCTGATTTGAGAGCGACCAAGCTACCTCGCCCACATTGCTGCTGCCATCCCTCCTCTACGAGAGCTGATTGTTGTTGCCATCCCTCCTCCCAACTGCGAGAGCTGATTGTGAAGCAAGCTGGTCCATTGTTATTGCCATCCCCACCGAAGCAAGCTGCTCCATTGTTAAGCAAGCTGCTCCATTTTATTCAAGCAAGTAGGAGTTATTTTGGAAGCGAGTATGAAATCATTGGAGCAAAAATCAGAGCTAGTTCTGATAGAAGTAAGGTGAGTGTAAAGGGGGTAAATTCTACACCTTACGTGTTCTTTCAAGAATTACAAGTCTTAAGTATTTTGATGAAGTGATTGTCGTTGTTTGATTGTGCTTATGGTTGATGATATGTGATTTTGTTTGAGCTATGTTTGATGTGAATGTGCATGAGTTCTTATTCAATTTAAAGATTTACGTTTATAAGTTATTGTTAAAGTTAAGAAACAAGTTTTTTTTTTTGTTTTTAGTCACTAGCGCCAGTCCGTTGCCTTTTGAGACATTTTGAGATAGAGTATCAGTTATGCTCTTAAGATCTTTGAGACAGAGCAGCAGTTATGATGTAACACCCCGATAATTTAGATTTAGGTTCGACCTTAATACGTGATCGGTTTGATTGACGGTACGTACTAAGAATTACAATCGTGGATTAAGAATAATAATATTATATATTTTATTCTATGTTGTTATTATTATTATATTATTATATTAAAAAAAAGGGCCGAGCGGCCCATTAATTGTTCCTCTCTCCCCTCCCCTCCCCTCCCCTCCCCCCCCCCACTTGATTTTCCAACGCCAAAAACCCCCACCCATTATGAATTTGGCTGCACGTCCAAATTCCCCTAGCAGTAGAAAAAAACCCTCCACCGACCCTCTCCAATTTTAATTCCTCAGTGATACAAACTGCCGCCGTCTCTACTTCGCATCGCGGGCGCGGGCGAGAGGGAAAAAGGGAGTCGCAGCCGGCTCTCGATACCGATCCCGATCTCGATCGTGTTCTAGGTAAGGACCACGAACCCCTTCGCGATTTTTAAACTCGATTCATCGATAGTCTAATCCGAAACTCGTATTTTATTAGTGGTGACGTTTGAGGATTCGATCAGCAAGGAGATCAACGTCTTGGGTCATCCAACCTAGGCCTAGGCACGTTCTAGAGGTAAGAGAACTCGATCCCTTTGAGTTAGATCGATCGATTTGGTGATTTTTCGTGAGGGTGCAATTCTGATTTTAGCAACAGGCTTTTAGTGATAGATTTTGATTCTTCACTAAATCTGCTGGGAATTTCCAGAAACGTATTTTTAGATGTTTCAAATTGTTTCGAGCCTCTGTGAAGGTTGTTTTATGAATTTAACAATTTTATAAATTGAAAGACGTTTAGGAGATGATTTTAATTTAATTTGGCTATTTTTATAATGGATTTGATGGTTTTTCAACTTGTCTCCAAATCTCAGGGTATGAGGTGGGATTTACAAATCCGTGAGGCCCACGGATTTGGAGCCCCAAATCAGTGGACCCCACGGATTTGGTGCCCTCCATTTTGGCTCAACAAACAATTGACTTTTAGACAAATCCTTCATGTGTTGGATTTGAGAACCAATTCCCACGTCCAAATCCTTGAAGCAAACGACCCCTTACAATCATGCCAGCTTCAGTCCAAGGCTCTTAAGAGATCAATGTTGGAAATAGTTTGAACTTTGTTTACATGACTCGTTGTTACCTCACTCTCTCCCCTCTGCAGATTTTGCATCAGAGTAATAGTACACTTAACTTCAAGAAGCTATGTTTCATTCAGCTTCTCTCGTAGGTAGGGATAGGCACCCCAAAGTCGTGCGTGAGATTCTTGTAAACTCGTTGAATCCTCTTCGTGACGCTCCCCACTTGGCCATCACCAATTTGGCGTCCATCGATCTTCACCACCTACGAGCATATCGGTTTATATGTATCCATGAGATGACCATTGCTCTACCGAAAACACTCTTTCAGAGACAACATAAAAAAGTACCTACTTACCGGGGTAATCTCCCCCATTGTTCCAGTGGTCCATACCTGCATTAGTTACGGCACAAGTTACCAAGAAGCACTCATCGTTTAATCAACGCACAACGAAACCCAGATTCTAAATCTCATAATTTGAAAAGCATTTCAACCGTAACGAGTTTAGTTTACCTCGTCTGCTGTGTGAAACTCTGAAAGGCTGATCCTTCGCTCCTCTAACACGAATTTCTCCTCGACCACAACATCCATAACCTTTGGAATGTTTAATGATTATATTCAACATATTTGGCCTCAAATAACAGACAATCCATCCTTAATGCTAGCTTAAACATAACTTACAGTAGCACGAGTGATGCCAGGGAGACAATAATCAGCATGTGGTGTCAAAACACGACCTTTCTTCACTAAGAACTGGAAAGGAGTACACAAACATAACAGTCACCACCTTGTCAATATGGTTTCCCAATAAATTAGAAACTGCTTGCTTGGTATCACAGTAGTAATCCCAAGACTGGAGGGGGGGTGGGGGACATAGACTCACGATATTCGTAGCATTTGTTTCGGAAACGTAACCATCCTTGTCAAGCATGATGGCATCATCAGCTGATGCATTATTCCCTTCTACCTAAATCAAGCAAGTACATTCAATCTTAACTAGAATTCTTTTCAGTATTTGAAATGATTCGATAGAGTAAAAAAAGTTATCATCTCAAATACCTTAGCAAGGATGTTATTAAGAAGGTTGTTGTGGTGAATCTTTGAATCTAAATTCTGGCATTTCACAAGAAGTAAGCATAATGATACTATCAAAGAAAAAACGAGAGGTAAACATCAAACGCACATTTGGTGAGTTCCGCCTTGTGGTAGCAGTCACAAGAGTTATGCCATGTGCATTATCATAAACAGGGGGTTTCCATTCAGGAAGTACTGTCAAGCCAAAACCAAGGTGCAACTTAGATAACAAACAAGCTATTTTTGCATATTAAGTTGGTCCAAGAAATTACCAATCAACGTGCATCCATATAGATTAAATGCAGGGCTCATCCCTGAAGTAACCTGGGGTAAAAGAAAATTCAACAAAAATGAGGTTAAATGCAATTCAGTTGTCGTTCATCAATATTTGTTTGTATACGTTTCACGTCTTTTAGCATGTTAGAATGATATGGAGTTGTATCTCCTGTCGAAAGATAATCTATTATCGACCTTTTTTCCACGTGTAAGAGACAATCGTATGTGTGCATTATTGAACATTCCATTCATAATAAGAGTTCTGAAGATGGCTTCCTTGATCTGTATATAATCCAAAATGAATAGATCAATTCTCTACAAAGACGTAACTTCAACAAGAAACGAAATTTTCCAGGGAAAAAAAATTGAGGGAGCTTCTTAAAACTCACCTCATCCCGAGTTGGAACATTACTGAAAGCTAAAGCCTTTGCTGAGTCAAACATCCTTTATCAAAAGAAGAAAGTCGCATGAATCTCAATTAAACGATCAGGATATCGACTCTGCAGACACGGAATAAAAGAACTTCCCAAGGACACAGAAGCAACAAGCAACATCCTAACTAACCTGTCTAAATGCTCCTCGAGCTTAAATACCTTTCCATCGTAAACGCGTAGACCCTCCCACACTGAATCGCCTCCTTGGACAACCGAGTCGAACACAGATACCTAAAACCAAAATATGAGAAGGCATCAGGAAAGAGTGACTCTTGAAACCGAATAAACTCTCAAGTTCTTCTACAATAGTGAGTATACCTTGGCACTATCTCGGGGAAGGATCTCATCTCCAACCCATGCTAGAAGCTTCTCATTTTCAGGCACTGGAAGATCAGGGGGAGGTAACGGGCTCTTCAGAAGGTTTGATGAACGCTTTACGCGATGTTTAAGCACATTGTACAAAGGCAAGACTTCTTCCAACAAGTCATAAAGGCCAAATGGAAATGGCTACGAATGAAGCAAGATAAAGAGAATAGGTTAGGGCAATTAATTCGAAGAGAAAATGGCATGGAGATCAAACAAAATACTGATGGCATACCATGGGATACTTTCTCACTTTGGCAAAACATGTTGATTCATGCACACTCTTATACCACCATGGAGCCCAAACTCCATCGTACGCTTTAGGACCAGCTTCCCAGCTGACATGATATAAATAAAGAAATTGACATAAACACACATTTCAGATTTTGAAATAAATCTACGTAATGAAGTAGTCATAAAGCTTTCTATTGAACTCACCCGCGACAGAACTGCTAGGTGTCTAGACAAACAAGTAAACGCTTAGCGTAATGAAAAATTCAGACACCTAACTAACTCATCAATCACTGTTTTCCCCTAACTTTGAGGAGGGTGCTTAATTGTTCTTAAGGAGATACTCCAAATTTATTTTAATGGTTAAGTTATGCAAATGTGATTAGATCGAGCATCTCATCTGCCATGGTATATGAAAAGCATCCTATAACCAAGAAACGGACTCGAACTAGAACATGAAACGAAATGAACTAAGCTTTCAAATTGGGTTGTGACTGCTAACCTGAGCATTGAGCTCTGGAAAGGTATATCCAAGTCTTCACAAAGACCACGCAGTGTAGCCTGCAGGAGTAGAAAGTTGATTGCCAATCGTTCTAGATCTCCAGTAACCAATAGAAGCATAATGTTGCAGAAAAAAACTGGAAATGGAAGGACAGAAGCTTTTGTTTGTATAAGAACATTTAGCAGACGCTACCAACCTCAGGGTCTTGCTCAAGGTCTGCTGCATCAATAACTGGTGGAGGGCTTCCCAATTTGCAGAGATCACTGTATACCGAGACTAGTTCTGCTAGACCCAACTCGAAAAACGATGGGAGCACAACTTTATCAAAAGAGGGCTGCCAAAAACAACAGAAACCAAAAGAACAAACAGTCAGCGAAATCACATATATAATCTTTCGCAGGTGAAATTTAGATTCGTCAAGTTAAGAAGAAGGCCACTGATGCATAACAGATTTGCTCATGAAAGCCTTGAAGCTATATAGAGTTGAGGAATAGGACATTATGGTTCCCCATCCGACTGGTTGCCAATTTTATGGCCGGTACTTCAAACTTTAAAGCATGAGTCATGAGTTCAAAATCTCTTACCAGGATATCAAGGGGGTTGCGTATCAATATAAAGTGCTTCCCTTTCTTCATCAAATTACTGGGCAAACCAGGCAACCTTTGTTTCGAGATATGCTGCAGATAGTAAAAAGGAAAGGAAAGACACTGCAAATCATTAACTCAAAGCTGATCTGAGGATAATGTATTATATTTCAGACAAAACAAGTTAGCTAATTATTCTCTTCACTCTGTATCTTTTGCAGGCATCAAGATTACATCTTCTTAGTGATTGAGAACTCTACCATCAAGAGTGTTGCCCAAACATTACCTTGCAGAATCTGTACTTCTTTCTTCCTGGACCGAATATTACATCTTTTACAACCTTTTCTTCATCGGCTTCCTATTTCAAACCAAATGAAAGTGGAATACCAGATCAAAAAGCACATATAATCAAATAGCATGAAATTGGCATGGGACGATAATGCAATGCAGCAGCATACCATGGAGCTTAGAACCTGCTCTCTGCATGGTCTTGCCGCACCAGTCGATTTTAGGAAAGTTGCATACAGAGGTTCGTCAAGAACTTCAGTGTCATCTCTCTGAGGAGAAGTAAAGAATAGAACCGAAATGCTTAGGTGCAAAATACAGATGTCCTTGAGAGGGAATCAAACACTAAATTTCTTATCTTTAAGGTCCATGCATTCGCTTGCAGGCTCTCTCTCTCTCTCTCTCTGTTTTTTTTCTTTTTGCCATTTGAAAAAGCACAGAAATCAGTGAAATTGAACTAGTTCGCTTCGATCGTCAACTTAAGCAAGACCCAGAAGTCAAAAGCGAACAATCATCAGTAGGAATCACAAATGTACCCCCCAATTTCTCACAAATTTGGGTCAGCTGATCTCAACAAGCACTCAACTTTCCGGTTCAAACTCACTCAACTTGAGATCTGCTTCACCACCCACCATCAGAAAACAAGTACAAGGAAATATAACCAGAAATGAGTCAATAGCTCCAAGAGATGAAGACCTGAGCAAAAGAGTACATGAGGCTGGTGCTGAGAGACCTCGGAGCTGACCATGCATGGATCACCTCCACCGCCTCTTCTCCACTACCCATTTCGTCGACGACCGGTCTTGATGAACACAGTCACTAGCTAACAGTAAGGTGGCGAAGGTGAGAACGGAGCTTTGGTAAACGGAGTCAAATAAAACTTCGATCGACTAAACATCAAAACCTTGCATGGTCTTTTAATCTTTTTGGTTTGCAGAGAGGCAGGGGAGAGGGATGGGACGGAATCTTTTCAGAAATATTTTGCTAAAAAACAAAACGTCCGGGAATCTGCCAGAATCTCATTGACACCCGTGAATCTCTTTTCTAGTAATGTATTTGTTGTAGGGGGGAAAGAACGGCGACTTTGTTCGCTTGATTGTGTGGGTAGTGAAAGTGAATATCTAGGCCCACATGGAAAGAAAGGCTTTCGATTCACGGGAAAAGGAGGTAACAACACAAAATCACCTAAGAACTTTCACATGAACATGCAGACCGACTGCTATTTGGAGAAAGCAGGAATCTTTTTAGGGTGGAAAGTAACTAAACGTTTGGATCTTTTCAGCATTTGGAAGTGACAGTAAATAAACGGATACTAGAAGGATCGTAAGAGCTCATATAAGGAAGCAACTTCAATGGCCTCGCTGTATCGGTTATGTCGGTGATTGTAAGATCACCCTGCTCTGCTAGGTCAAGGAAACAATTGAAGGTATCAATGTTCCGTATCACACAAGCAATGTAACCCACAGGGGTTTTCATTGACTCAGCTTGTTCATCATTCTCAGCTTCTTCAGCTCTGCCTTCATTGAGAATGTCCTCCTGGCAGTTGCTGTTCCTTGTCTGAGAAGTTACTTGCCTTTGCTTCAATAGGGTTGCAAGTACTCTAACAAGATGAGGGAGGCATGCTGGGTCGTAGATTATATCAGCGCCTAAACTGTAGAATGATGCATTAAGAGAATGGCTGTCATTTCTGAAGCAGAACATGTTGTTGAAGAAAGTGCATTTCAATTTCAAGGAAAGATAAGATTGCTCACACTATCTCAGGAGTGAACTCCTGAATTTCGGCTTCAGCAGCAGATTCCCATGACAGGTGAATGCATTGCACCTCAGAATTACTCCCGGTGTCAGATTTCACCTGCTTTGGGATCACTAAATATCATTCCTTTTTTTTTTTTTTTGCCCACAAAATACTAGGACTAAGGCACGGTTTACAGAATCTAGTATATGAATATAACTTAATAACTTATCATTAGAAAAAGAAGAAGAAAAAAACCCTACCAAGTTTAGCTCCTTGTCACATTTCTCTAGCGCATCCATTCTGGTGCTTATATTGTTTAACCCCAAATTAAGCTTCATATTAGCCAAAGTTGACAGATCGCCATCAGATAATACAACCTGCAGCAGGTGGAAACTAGAGCAGTTATCGCAGATCACATCAGAAAACTTTACACTTGAATATCAGTAACTCCAGAGCCTATGATCATAGCATAAAAAGTGAACAGAAGTATAGAACTACACTCATGCATGGGAAACAAAGACAACACGATAAAGCTAATAAACCAAAAGGAACATTCAATGACAGATATTCAGCTACTTGGTTCTCATATCAGTTACCTTCGAAGCTTTGACATGAGAAAGACTAACTCCAACCAAGCCAACGCCAGAACCAACCTGATTTGACATTCAGAGGAGTCAATAACGAAACCAGTTCAAGGAAACAACTCAAAAAAGGAAGTCTAAGAGCAAAAAGAGTAGAATTACAGCTAGCTACTGCATACATCCTCACATTATTAAACAACAACCTCGATGCAAATAAGAGTAGATATATATTCCTTAACATGTTCATTACCTCAAAGCAAGTTTTATTGGTGAATCTATCTGGGAAAGAAAGTATAAACTCAGACAAATACAGACTGGAAGGCCAAACCGAACATCTGTAGCAATTAAATGACAGTGACAGTACAATGTTAGTTTCCAGGATCCATGGTTAGTAGTATCATAAACAAATAAGACGGAGTCAAATGAACGACAGTGAAAGAGAACCTCCATATGCTTCACCCTGCATAAAAGGATGGACTATCCGTTGAAGACAAAAGTACATCGAACCCATTACCATTAGCAGATAGAATCCACTGGCAAATACTGCTTACCCTGTGTCTCCTTCAAGCATGTTAAGTGAGCAATTGAGAGGAACCACCAACTTTCTCGATTTGGGACAACTTGAAAGTTCAAAAGAACCTATCCACAATACACACACAGACCATCAACTAGACATTGAGCCAGGGGAGTAGAGATAAATTCCACACAACATGTATTTCCATTTTCCAGGTCCTAACTCTTACCATCTGTGAAAAGGAAGGAAATGTGTTTGCAGGCTTTTCCTCTGCCGAAACTGTCTTCCTATAAGACAAGTGATATATTAATCAGTAATTCAGTATAGAAGCTAGTCTTTTGTACATTAAAGAGGATAATTCAACCATGAACAAATGCTCATTCCTAACAAACTCGTCCAAGGATTACCTTCAATGAGGTCATGTAATAACCATAATGTTCGTATAATTCATCCAACACACACCCATGAGTTGACTCTACTTCAAAAATAAGCTTCTTCACAAAATTCTTCAAGTAAGGGGCATAACCTATGGCAGCCTGCAACAGAGCGAAAGAAAAATGAAAAATGAATCAAGCTTTTATTCCAGACATGAAATTCGCAAAGCAGAAGCCAAGTTTGCACCTTCCATGTCAAAAGGATTTAAGCTGGAGCAGAAAGAAAGGGCTTCAATTCAATCAATAGTCACTCTACTTACTGCTTGGTTTATGCAGTGATCCCATATAAACTTCTGGACATTCTCTGAAACTATCCCTCCGCCGCACGCCCTTAACATATCAAACACAAAAAAGAAACACTGGCAACTCGTCAGCCGCCATACTAGTTGCTAAAGCTGAGCTATCGCATTAGGGGAAATGGGGAATTACCTTGCAATGGAGATTAACGAGTCGGAAGGCTCCATGGCTAGGAAGGCGGAGACCAAGTGAAGGCCTGGAGGGAAGCTGGGATCAAGCTCGTCTGAGTTCGTCATAGCTGATAGTTACCCCGGCGTTTCGCCAACAAAGGAGACTGCTCTAGAAATCACAGTAATGTGGTTGCAGTGCTACAAAGAAATCGCTAATGAACCTGCCGAGTGCCTGTTTTGGAGTGAAATCGTGGGGGACGAATCCCGAACTCATCTGCATACGCCATCCGCTAGCTTGCTGCGACATGTCGTTTTCACTTTGTTCAGAAAATGCGAACGACTAGTGTGACGAGTGGCAAACCGACACGTGTCCCATGGGCCCAAAGTCAAAATGCTCGATTGGTCAAGAAGATTTGATTGCGATTAATTTTTCACGCTTCTTCTCTCTCGCGTTCCCATTTCCCGCCAACTGAAGGGAAAGAACTCACAAGAAGTCAAGAATTGTGAGGTTGGCTCTCGTTACTCTCGTCTTGTTCGCTGTTTGGTTTCCGAGAAAATCCTCGCTACGTCTTCACACAACTTGACTTCTGAGAAGATCGTTTCTGCTTTTTCAGTCGCCATCGACGAACTGCAGCCTCGATTTCGATTCAAGTTTGAAATTTCCAGTTCTCATCACCAAGAAAACATGAATCAGGTAAAGGATCAACACTTTTCAAACTAATTCTAGTTGTAGGTTTTGAATCTCCAGTCGTAGATCTAGACAGATGATTAGTCCTCTTCTCCCAATTTCTGGCTCAAATGATCAGGACATCGAAGCGTCTCCTTCGCCAAAGAAGCAGATCTCCAATGTAACTGTCTGCTCTCGCTTCAGGCCACTGAATTCAAAAGAGAGGAAGGATCACGGTGGCCAAGTTTGTGTGCGCCGTATCGACGACGAAACTTTCGTCTTCAAGGTAGGTACTATTAATCTGATATTCACCTCCCTTGCCTCCGATTTCCATGCTGATTTAAAGTTCCTCTGGTGTTAATTAGGATGAGAAGGAAGAAGAGTCTACTTTCAGCTTCGATAAGGTTTTCTACGAGGATTCTCTGCAAGCTGATGTCTATGAATTCATAGCCCTGCCTATCGTTCGTGGTATAGAGATCGCTGCAAACTGTTTGATTAGTTTTCTTCTTTCATAATCCGATTCTCGTTTCTTGTTTTCAAACATCTGGTTCGTTTGATTCTGAAATTCTTCCTCGACTCAGATGTTGTTAATGGAGTGAACGGGACGATAATCACTTATGGACAGGTGAGTTTAGGTCAAATTGGAGTAAAATTTCCTGTTATTGTTCATGTTTGATTGTCGATTTGTGGTTTAGACTTAACAGAAGAAGAGTTCTGTTAAGACTTTAGACCTTCCTTTTCGTTTTTCTGAATCATCACTGTCACCTTTCTTCAAGCAGACGGGAGCCGGGAAGACGTATAGCATGGAGGTCACATTACATTTTGTTTCCTTTGAATTCCATTGTACCTTGTGGGCAGTTTGCTGTTTTTCTTATTATGATAACTCTTCCATGCTACTGGAATCAGGGACCAAATGTTCTAGAATCAGATGATATGAAGAAAGGGCTACTTCCAAGAGTAGTAGATGGACTGTTTGAGCATCTTGCGTCTGCTGGTGATTCAATCAAGTACGAGATCACGCTATCCATGGTAGAAACCAGTACCATTGCTTATAGATTTGGTTTGACAGCTTCAACAAACTGGGACTAACAAGCTTCTCATGCTATCTTCTGATTCTTGTAGGTTGAGATCTACATGGAGAAAGTCAGGTATAAGTTCTTCATGTTTGCTCTAACCTAGTTTAGAAGTGAGGATGCTTATACGAGCAATGAAATTTCGGTGCTGTGTTTCGTTAGGGATCTCTTTGACTTGTCTAAAGATAATTTAGTGATCAAGCAGAATAAAGGCCATGAGATGCTGGTTTCTGGAGTGACAGAGGCAAGTGAACTTCTGCTTCTACCATCTTTATCAGGAAAAATAGCTCATCTGATGTCTGTGTAGTACCAAACTGCAGGGTTACTTTGGCCATTACCAAAGGAAGGCAGGATGATTAATTTGGGTTTTAAATGTTAAGTCAATGAGGACTCGAAGTCTTAGATTTATCAATCACACTTTTCATTAGTTAGATCAAATGGTGAAATTCATTCATTTGTAGACAAGCTATCATTCGTTTACAAATCGAGTATGCTTGTTCTCAGTCTTAACCATACTTTCAGTTTACTGACAAGCATTTTACTTGGCCAGATTCATTTGTCAGACACAGGAGAAGCTTTGCAAAACCTACATGTAAGATGGTTTCCTTTGAACGCTTATTTTTCAAATGCGTATCCCATGTTCTCATATTAAGACTGAACTTGCAGGCTGGAATACAAAATAGAGCTGTTGGGGAAACTCGTATCCACATAATCATGCTTCTAAAGTGTCATTGATCCTCTAGTAACTAGCATTGGATAGTCTTCACAAACTACCTGCACTACTCATCTGTGTGGAATAGACATAGACGTTCAGTTCTTGACAGTAAAAAGAAATGAATCTGGCAAGCAGTCGAAGCCACTGTGCCTACATATTCACAGTCCTGTCAGATTCGACCAGAGATAGGTCTTTGTTTCAGTCTTCTGTTCTCTATCCATTATCAGCATTACATTGAGAAATTAGTCTGAAATTTTGAACATCATTGGCAGGGGAAGGACAGGGAAATTGGTGCTTGTTGACTTGGCAGGATCTGAGAAAGTGGAGAAAACTGGAGCCGAAGGGAAACTTCTTGAAGAAGCTAAGACCATAAACAAATCCCTATCAGCTCTGGGGAACGTGATAAATGCTCTAACATGCAGTTCATCCAAATCTAATCACATACCTTACCGTGATTCTAAGCTGACCAGGCTTCTTCAAGATGCTCTAGTTAGTTCCTTGCCACTCAAGATTCCCAATCTGTTGTTCTTCCAAGGGACCAGAGTTTGACCAGCTGGGTTGTTCTTCTGCCACCAGGGAGGCAACTCTAGGACTGCTTTAATCTGTTGCTGCTCGCCGAGTACCTCAAACTCATCAGAAACATTTTCCACTCTTCGTTTCGGTACCAGGTGTATACCGTGCATTCTTTAGTCAATTCCATGGATGATTTACTGAAGGGGAAAGTGCATGTCATGATAATTAGATTCTTGCTATTGCATATTTGTAGTCACTTAAAGACAATCATACTGATTGGTATTTTGCTGTAGGGCAAAGCATATAAAGACATCGCCTACTGCTAAACGGATAGTTGATGCGGAAACTGGAGCCAGATGGAATGCAGTCGATGTTCCAACAAAAGTGGAGTCTGTCGAGAGAATTCTAGCCGAGGTCAGAACCAAGTTACAGTGATACATTCCCTGAAGCACATGCTTCTTTTTTCCTCTTTTTGTCCTTCTTTCGAACGTAATGAGAACTTCTGCAGATGAAGTTATCACCAACTGCCCCAAAGAAAGATGATGATCATCACGAGAGAATTCTAACCAAGGTCCGATTTCAAGGTCTAAAGATGTTGTTCTCTGAATCACATGCCCTTCCATTTCCTCACCATTTTCTTAGAATTATAATGCAGTTGAGTGAGAGATTGGATGACGAGGATGTCAACTTGCTCGAAGAATTACTCCTACTGGAGAGAATACTGTTTGATCCCGGTACAGAAGAAGACTTGGAATCAGGCTTCGAGGACATCAGCTCACCTACATTTAACTTGCTGCAACAGAATCTGCAAAAGCTAATGATTACTTGTGAAGAGGTAATTAAGCAAAATTTGGTGAAGATTCGCAGCAAGAGAGTGAAGAGTTCCTCTTTATTTCAGCTTAGCATCTTCCACAGTACTTTTCCCTGAGAAGTTTATTGTTGTGCGTGTGTTTGCAGCTTAAGAGTGAGAACAAGGCTCTCAAGGCCAGAATTGCAGCTGGTGGAACTGTGGAAGGTGGTGGGGAAGAGAATGGAAGTTTCTTCATGCAGAAAGTTTCAGGCATTATCAGCTTCTTCTTTCCGTAGATTTGGGCCGGGCCTAGTAGTCGAATTGCTTAAGTACAAAGCCCTTTTTTGGATAGGAAGCAGTACACAATCAATTAGAGTTGTTTCAGATTATAAAAAAAAAAATAGAGTTGTTTCAGTTTGTACATCCCTACTGACGGATGATATTCAACAAACAAAGAATATTGGTCCATGGAGGCCCATATCCAGAAATGTGGCCCAGTCTAGAAACTCTCTTCACGGCCCAAAACGTTAAAGTGGTCACCTTATTAGTCGTTTGCTTCGTGGATTTAGATGATCCATCATATATTTAAGGAGAATTCATCGTTTGCCTAATACATTTCTTAGTGATCAAATTCGTGGAGCCCACGGATTTGGACCCCCACGAATTTTAAGGGTCCAAATCTGGGACTCCACGGACTTGTAAATCTCACACACTTATGTGAAATTTGGAACATGTGATAAATCCACGATCGGATTTTACCTATATATCCTCATAAATATTTAATATTCCTATATTGTTCTCACATTTACCTATTGTACATTATAACTATTTAATTAATTAACAACAAAGAAATAATATAAATATTCAATTAATCTAAACACATGAGTTAGATTTTTCAATCTCTTTTTTATGTTCTAGTTTCCTTCGACCTTTTCATGGAACGTGTAATTATTGGTTCTCCCAATTCTTATATATATTGCTATATGTTAATTTTGGAAAGGAAGACAACGAATTGGTAAATTATATATGTTACGTTAAAAGTTAAACGAAATTTTTTCATTTATTATTATTGTCGTTGTGGCAACATTATGCTTATTAGTACGTATTGTCTTTGTTTTGTGTATATACCATAAACATGACAAACAAATAGAAAAGGATAGTAAGGTAATTTTAGACTTTCAGTTCTAAATTCCAAACCCTTAAATCCATGATAAACCGTCTCAACAAACAAAGGATTGTTAAAAATCAATAATGTCTCAAATCCTTGATAAATCTTTGGATTTTTAAATTACAAAACCTTCATTTTTAAATGGGTAATGTCTATTTTTTATCTAAATATTTTTTAGATTCTTTTATTTTATACAAACCTATTAAAATTCTATTAATTATCCAAATCTTTCATAATGCATCAAAATATTAGCAATTTTTACGTTATCGTTAATAATTTTGTAACTCTTTTCTTAGTTAAAATACTAAAATTTTGAAATGTTCACCTTCATGAGTTTCTTGCAAGTCAGTATCATGTTGCCAAGTCAATATTACTAACAAAATTGCTAACTGAAAGTTAACATTTGACTAGTTCTTAGTATTTCGATAAATTTGAATAATATAAAACAATTTAAAATTTGAATAAAAGATAGAGATTACTCGTTTTAAATCAAGGTTGTCAACCCATGGGTTGACCCGTGGGTCGACCTAATTTGACCATGATCCGGTGAGAAAAACGGGTCACACGCACCCATCGGGCCGACCACTACAAAGTACCGGGTTGGAGGTCAAATTGTGTCTTTTTTTTCTTTGGTTTGCTAAATGTGCCTATTTTCTGATTTTTCTTTTCGCCTAACTCAATCTTTGGAGTCCTAAGTTGAACATTTGAATATTTATGTTATATAAGTGTGCGTGAATTTTCACTATATGTTGGATCTAAGTACGATATGTTATTTTGGTGTACTATTATATGTTATAACTCATATGTTAGAAAAGATTTGATATAATTTATAAGAATAAGTACAATATAATGACTCTTTCCATATTTTCGGGTCAAACCGGGCTAAAACGATTGACCCATTAATCCTTGACCCACTAGCTCGACCGGGTCCGAGTCAACCGCGGATTGACAACCTTGTTTTAAATCAAACAACCCCTTACATCTTATCTATTTACTACTTGATTTGTTACTCGGGCTCTGCTTTTGAAACCTTCCTTTCTCCGGCGTGTTACCAAGAAGAAGCAGTAGCAGAAGCGGCATCTCATAAGGTACGAGGGTGTGGACTGTGGAGCAGTCTATGATTATCTGTTACCTTCTCTGTCGCGTCAGAAGTGGAAATCTTCTGTTCTTCACTTTGGCCTTCTTCCTCGTTTCTTTCACCTTCTTTTCGTGTGCCGTCCAACTGCTCGACAAAATGCCACACCCACTCGGTAAACCATTCAGATTCAGTCCCGGAATCATCCACCCCAACCCGCTGATTTTCCGATTTGGTTTGGATTTTCTCAGGGGCAGCATTGAGGGAGAGAGGAAATGGCGTTGAGACGCTACTTCGGGTTCTCAGAGGGAGAACTGATGAGGTCCGATTGCAAGCCTTGCTCTAGGCTCATGAGGCACACCGCTGGGATCTTCTCCGTCGGTGGAGCATTCGGGTTCTGGATTCTCTGCAGGTTGCATTACGGTAAGGGCCTTCTTCACCCTCCCTTTCTCTTCTGCTTTACCTTCCTTTTCCATTGAATTCGGCAATAAAGCACGATACTTTGATCAAGCTGGAAATAAACAGACTTCCTAGTACAATTTGTATTAGGTTAGATTGTCCATTTGGGTGTCTCTTTTCATTATCATACTGATTCACCTTTTTCCCCAGGTCCCAGAGTCACCACGCCGAGGGCGCTAAGGTGGGCGGCTTGTGGAGCAGTCACAGTAAGTTCATCGACGGCGATGCTGGTACGCCTCTTTAGCCCTGAGTGCGAGCCCCAGAACATTGCTGCTTTCGACAAACCTGCATAGCCAAGGCCACGATCGCTTCTCTCTAGCCTGCGGCTATCGATCGGTCTCTCAATTCTTTGTTTCTTGTGGAAACTTGTATGCAAGACTTGGACCTATGTGAAGTGGTGCCAAATTTCATATGGCAATAGAGAATGGTTGCTGTGGTTTTCTCAATGAAAGTGTATTTCAGAAAAGACTTGTGTTTGAACAAATATCAGAACGTCATTCCTGCCTAATTATGCAACAAACACTTAGCTTACTGATATGAATTTGGTTGATATGGGTTGATTTGTTTCCCTGCACTTCTTAGCAGCCTCAAATTGTGCAGATTTAGTAAAAGAATCTCGATTTGGGTATTCTTGATGATAAACAAATCCCTATCAGCTCTGGGGAACGTGATAAATGCTCTAACATGCAGTTCATCCAAATCTAATCACATACCTTACCGTGATTCTAAGCTGACCAGGCTTCTTCAAGATGCTCTAGTTAGTTCCTTGCCACTCAAGATTCCCAATCTGTTGTTCTTCCAAGGGACCAGAGTTTGACCAGCTGGGTTGTTCTTCTGCCACCAGGGAGGCAACTCTAGGACTGCTTTAATCTGTTGCTGCTCGCCGAGTACCTCAAACTCATCAGAAACATTTTCCACTCTTCGTTTCGGTACCAGGTGTATACTGTGCATTCTTTAGTCAATTCCATGGATGATTTACTGAAGAGGAAAATGCATGTCATGATAATTAGATTCTTGCTATTGCATATTTGTAGTCACTTAATGACAATCATACTGATTGGTATTTTGCTGTAGGGCAAAGCATATAAAGACATCGCCTACTGCTAAACGGATAGTTGATGCGGAAACTGGAGCCAGATGGAATGCAGTCGATGTTCCAACAAAAGAGGAGTCTGTCAAGAGAATTCTAGCTGAGGTCAGAACCGAATTACAGTGATACATTCCCCGAAGCACATGCTCCTTCTTTTGACCGTAATGGGTATTTCTGCAGGTGAAGTTAATACCAACTGTCAAACATATTGATCATGCATCAGATGCCCCAAAGAAAGATGATCATCATGGGAGAACTCTAGCCAAGGTCCGATTTCAAGGCCTAAAGATGTTCCTCTGAATCACATGCCCTTTCATTTCCTCACCATTTTCTTAGAATTATAATGCAGTTGAGGGAGAGATTGGATGACGAGGATGTCAACTTGCTCGAGGAATTACTCATACTCGGTTTGATCCCAGTGCAGAAGAAGACATGGAATCAGGCTGCAAAGACATCACCTCACAGTCCTCACGTACAATTAACTTGCTGCAACATAATCTGCAAGAGCTTATGATTACTTCTGACGAGGTAATTAGAGCAGAATTTTATTTAATAATCGCACCAAGAGAATGATGCTACTCTTTGTTTCAGCTTAGCATCTTTCACAGCACTTTTCCCTGATAAGCGTAGGGTTGTGCGTGTGTTTACAGCTTAAGAGTGAGAACAAGGCTCTCAAGGCCCGAATTGCAGCTAGTGGAACTATGGAAGGTGGTCGGAAAGAGGCAGAACTTAGAGCAATCAGAGATGGTCTAAGCTTAGCTTGGAGCTTGGGATTTCGAAGGGTAGAGATCAACTCCGACTCAAAAACGGCGGTCGCCTTGCTCAATTCGGCTGATTTCCTCTTTCACCCACTGGGAATCATTCTCAATGATTGTTATTCGCTTCTTCACCGAAATTGGGATTGCCATCTTTACCATTGTCTAAGAGAAGCGAACCAAGTTGCCGACTTCATGGCATCATGCCGGTCATGATTGTATACAAGGAGAAAAGTTATGGCCAACAACACCTATTGCTATTGCTTCAATTGTAGATTCTGATAGAAAATGTGTTATGTATTTTCGAGACTAAGTAATCGTTGTACTTTAATTTTCTATTGTACCAAAAAAAAATTAGAGCTTTTTCAGTTCGTTTATTAATACGCATGATAATGTAGGCATTGTCATCTTTCGCCGTCATTACAGATCATTTACCCGTTGCGAACCGTGTCCATTGTCCACTTTCAATCGTTACACATGCCCTTTGTAACTCATTAATGAGGCAAGCTGAACTGAGTTTTGCATTGTTCAGAGTTTGTTCGTTTATAAACGAGTTGAACTCGAGTTCGGCTCGTTCATAAATGAGATGAGTCGAGTCGAACACGAGTCAACTCATATATTGAATTTTGGCTAATCATTAAGATTGAAATTTTGACTCGAGCTCAACTCTAAGATAATTTATAAATTAAATACTCTAATATTTTTGTATCATATATGATACATGTGATTAACTGATCTTCATGTCATATATGAGACATATTTGCTCACATACTTAAATTATGAAGCTTCACTTATGGTGAGAATGTGAGATATATAATTTAATAAATCTATGCGTCATTAGAACCAACTCATAAGATATAGATTGATTTTCTCATAAGTCGTAATCAAGTTGGGTCTCTAGTCACAATGTTGAAACATCTCATGAGCTCAAAACGAGACAATTGAAGAGTCAAACTCAACAAGACACCTAATCGAGCTAGTTCACGAGCCTCACTAGTCGAACAAGGTTGAGCTCATACTCGGCTCATTAATAAATGAATCAAACTTTTATCAAATTGAACGAGGTTTTATTGAATTATAGACCAAGCCGTATGTGAATAGTTTATGTCATTAACCCCCCTAATCTGAGAACTGATATTTTACACAGAAAAGAATATTGGTCAATTGTGGCCCATATCCAGAAATGTGGCCCAAATCTGGAAACTCTCTCCACGGCCCAAAACGTTAAAGCCTCTCCCTTGATTTGATTTACATCTACCAATTGACTTACTCGGCTCTGCTTCTGAACTCTGAAGCCTTCCTTTCTCCGGCGTGTTAACTGTTCTGTTAAGAACCAAGAAGAAGCAGTAGCAGTAGCAGAAGCGGCATCTCATAAGGTACGAGGGTTAATATGATGAATCTGTTACTTTCCCTGTCGCGTCAGAAATGGAAATCTTCCGTTCTTCAATTTGGGTTTTTTCTCCTTCTTTCACCTTCTTTTCGTGTGCCGTCCAACTGCTCGACAAAATGCAACACCCACTCAGTAAGCAATTATCAATCCCGGGATCATACACAACAACCCGCTGATTTCCAATTTGTGGTTGGGATTTTATCTCAGGGCACCATTGAGGGAGTAAATGGCGTTAAGGCGCTACTTTGGGTTCTCAGAGGGAGAATTGATGAGGTCCGATTGCAAGCCTTGCTCCAGGCTCATGAGGCACACCGCTGGGATCTTCTCCGTCGGCGGAGCATTCGGGTTCTGGATTCTCTGCAGGTTGCATTACGGTAAGGGCCCTCACCACCTTCCCTTTCTCTTCTGCTTTACCTTCCTTTTCCATTGAATTGGAGTAAGACCCCAAAAAAACGATACTTTGATCAAGCCGGAAACAAACAGACTTCATTGTCAATTTGTACTGATTCACCTTTTTTCCCCAGGTCCCAGAGTCACAACTCCCAGGGCGCTAAGGTGGGCGGCATGTGGAGCATTCACCGTAAGTTCATCCACGGCGATGCTGGTACGCCTCTTTAGTCCCGAGTGCGAGCCCCAGAACATTGCTGCTTTCGACAAACCTGCATAGCAAACGCCACGATGGCTTCTCTCTAGCCTACAGCTATCGATCGGTCGCTCAGATCTTTGTGGCTGGTAGAAACTTGTACACTATGTGAAGGGGGTTCTAAATTTCATATGGCAATAGAGAATGGTTACTGTGATTTTGTCAGTGGAAGTGTTTTCAGGAAAAAGAACTTGTGTTTGAACAAATATCAGAACGTCATTCCTGCCTAATTATGCAACAAACACTTGGCTTGCTGATATGAATTTGGTTGATTTGTTTCGCTGCACTGATTAGCAGCCTCAAATTGTGCACATTTAGTAAAAGAATCTCGATTTGGGAATTCTTGATGATGTACCAAGAAAGGATGAAATGGTAGTAATGATGCCTGTGAATGAGGAAGAAGCTTATTATTAATTAGCCTTAAAGAGATTGCTGCATTCACGGGGTTTGGAAGGACTCTGAAAGAAAAGGAAAGAAGTGTACACAAAATAAACCAATAGAGTAGATAATCTTTGCAAGGAAACAAAGCTTTGAAGGAAAAAATGTGCCCCTTATCTCAACTACTGCAATGCCCTTCCTTCTGTCTTTGCTTTTGGCAGTCATTTTCCTTCAAAAAAATCAAACATATAAATCCCTATATAAAGCATCCAAATATCCTTCCTTTTCATCATTGCATCCTTGGGTTTGTGTTACCACAACACTAGAGCTCTACTACAGCTACAGCCATGGCTGCCAAGAGCTCTGTTGTTGTTCTCAAAATATTCGTCAGCATCATCATACTATCACTATCCTTCCTATCATATTCAGCCACCTCCACTGAGTTCAACTATCCGGCAGCTTTCAACTTCGGTGATTCGAACTCGGACACTGGCGACCTTGCTGCTGGCCTCGGCTTTCGTCTTGGCCTCCCCTATGGACAGACCTACTTCAACCCTCCGACGGGGAGGTTCTGCGATGGCCGCCTTATCCTGGACTTCCTAAGTACATAAGTTTCCTCTCATCACTCTCATTATAGTAGCATATGGGTTGTCGCAGTTTTGAACATGGAACCTATAAACCAAACAAAAAACATGGAATCTTTTTCTCGTGTTTTATCCTCTTATTTCAATGAAAATGGCTCTTCTTTTGGCTCTTGCTTCAAATAGTTTAAAACAGAAACCTTCCGTGGTACATAATTGAGATTGACCCACCACCTTCATTTTGCTTTGTCTCTCCAGTTGGTGAGTAACTAACATCAAATCCTTCTTTGCACTGAAAGCAACGCCTTACTTCCCTTTGTTGGGTATTAAAAGGGCTTGGTGGTTGCTGTCTAGAGCTCTAAGGAACTCTGTTGCCATGGAAACCAAGTTTTTGTTGTTTGTGATTCTCTTGGTCTCTATGTTTGCCTCCATGGCTCATTCCATAGACTTCAACTTCCAATCTATCTTCAACTTTGGTGATTCGAACTCTGACACGGGCAATCTCATTGCCGCTGGGATCGAAACCATCAACCCTCCTTATGGTCAGATTCACTTCAAGACTCCTTCTGGGAGATACTGCGATGGCCGTCTCACTATCGATTTCATCAGTACTTTTTCTTGGCCGCTTAGCTTTTCTAGAATCCGAAACTCTGTTTTTCCCTTGCTCTGTTTTTCCCCCCTGCTTCTCCTCTGCTGATTTTTGGATAATGGGATTCAATAATGTGCATTGTTTTGGATTTGGCAGTGGATGCCATGGATCTACCGTTTCTAAATGCATATCTGGAAGCAGTTGGGTTGCCGAATTTCCGAAGAGGATGCAACTTTGCTGCTGCTGGTTCAACCATAAATCCAGCAACACCAACGTCAGTCTGCCCATTCTCATTTGGGATTCAGGTGTCTCAGTTTCTGCGATTCAAAGCTCGTGTCATCGAATTGCTCTCCAAAAGTTTGTTCTTTTGACCCCTTAAAGATTGATTCAAATGGTTTAGAGTTTTGGCAGAGAGTTTTTCACTGATCATTTTTGTTTGTCCTTCAACAAACAGGTAAGAAGTTTGACAAGTATCTTCCAGCTGAGGACTATTTCCAGAAGGGGCTGTACATGTTTGATATAGGCCAGAATGATCTTGCTGGTGCATTTTACTCCAAGAGTTTCGATCAAGTCGTCGCCTCGATCCCAACCACTTTAGTCGAGTTCGAGAATGGAATCAAGGTTTTCTATAGCTCTTCGTTACTTAAACTCTCTCTTTTCCTTTGAACCATGTCTTTCCCTCCCTGGTTCTGCTTCCAAAACCTAAATATACCTCCATTCTTGTTCTAGAGATTGTATGACGAAGGAGCAAGGAACTTCTGGATACACAACACGGGCCCTCTCGGATGTTTAGCTCAGAATGTGGCGAAATTCGGTACTGATCCATCCAAGCTCGACGAGCTAGGCTGTGTTGCTGGGCACAACCAAGCTGCCAAGCTTTTCAATCTGCAGCTTCATGCTCTCACCAAGAAGCTGCAATCCCAGTATGCCGATTCGAACATCACACACGTCGATATCTACACCATCAAGTCCAACCTTATTGCAAACTACTCCAGATACGGTAATCATTCTTGTCTTCCACCGCATTGGGAATGCGAATTGCTGAGGAATGATGGTGTGCTATGTCATTATCCTCTTTTGCAGGATTTGAGCAGCCCATAATGGCCTGCTGTGGCTATGGAGGACCGCCGCTGAACTACGATAGTCGGGTTGGATGCGGGCAGACAAAAGTGATCAACAACGCGACAGTTGCGGCCAAGGCGTGCAATGACAGCACTGAGTACGTGAACTGGGATGGGATTCATTACACTGAAGCTGCAAACCAGTATGTTTCGTCGGAAGTGCTCACCGGAAAGTATTCTGACCCGCCGTTCGCTGACAAGATGCCATTTGCTCTCAGTCTCAAGTTCTGAAACACAAAAGCTTGCTCAGATCGATTGCCGTAACTGGTTCATTCTTTTACTCTCCAACATTGTGTTCTTCCTCCTGCGTGGAAAACTTATTACAGAAAGGATAGGATAATACTAAAAGGGCATTCTAACATTGATCGACTTTGTCACTGGAAGGAAGTTATAATCGTTCATGGGAAGGATCTAACATTATTGTATTCGGAATCTAAGCTAATAATAGATTGATTTACGTCAAACGTTAAAATTGGAGTGAAATGAGAACAACCAAAAGAACAAACAGTCAGCGAAATCACATATATTATCGATCGCAGGTGAAATTCGATGCATAACAGATTTGCAGATGAATGTTCGCCCACGATCAATGCGGTTTTGATCGATACAAGAGCTCAATTCGAGCTTGGGTTTCTCGGCCAAGCCCTCAACCAAAAACAAGCACGACACTTAGTTTTTTGGGTTTAATCTTAACTCAATCATCAACTGCCTCTTACTGTCTTACAGACCTTACGTGAGGTTTAAGTTCAATCCAAATAAACCTAAAACGAAACTTAAACTTAAACCAACAAGGAAACTAAAAAGAACAGGCCAATCCGAATACAACAAGTACTCCAACTCTGCCTTCCTGCCCAAGTCCTCCAACTTGCCTCCATACCATCTTTGAGCTATTCGATGGAGGTCTTTTTGGTATGAACTCGATCACCTAACTCCTTGCTTCTGTACTAGGAAATACGTAGTTTCATGTGGCCTGAAGCTTCTCTCTCGATTCAGCACCATCTTCCCAGAGTGAAGCTCCAAAGTAGCTATGCTGCTCACTGTTTGACACTTGGACAATTCCTGCCATTTTCCCAGCATTGAGCTTCCATCTTGTCGAGGCTTGAAACTGTGCTTCCAGGCTTCCCCTCGAGCTGCCAAGCACACCATCGTGTCCAGCAACACTCGGAGTTCAAAATGAGGCCTTGTACTTCCATTTTCAACCAGCCACTTGAGAGGAAGAGTCTTACAAAGTAGGCTACCAACAACGGTACCATGCCTTAGCCAAAAATCCATATTTGAATGTTGTTTTGAGTTGGCTTCCTTGGCAAGTATTTCTAACTTGATTAAGAGGCAATCCATGCTCGTATCAGTAAAAAGGAAAAGAAAGACGCTGCAAATCATTAACTCAAAGCTGACCTGAGGATAATGTATTATATTTCAGACAAAACAAGTTAGCTAGCTATTCTCTTCACTCTGTATCTTTTGCAAGCATCTATATTACATCTTCTTAGTGACTGGGAACTCTACCATCAAACTGTTGCCCAAACATTACCTTACAGAATGTGTACCTCTTTCTTCCCGGACCGAAGATTACATCTTTTACAACCTTTTCCTCATCGGTTTCCTATTTCAAACCAAATGAAAGCAGAACCCTAGATCAAAAAGTACATATAATATAGTAGCATGAAATTGGCATGGGACGATAATGCAATGCAGCAGCATACCATGGAGCTTAGAACCTGCTCTCTGCATGGTCTTGCCGCACCACATTTCTCTTGCACATCCATTCTGGTGCTTATACGGTTTAATCCCAAATTAAGCTTCGTATTAGCCAAAGTTGACAGATCACCATCAGATAATACAACCTGCAGTGAGTGGAAACTACAGCAGTTATGGCAGATTACATCAGATTTTTTTTTCCTTGAATACTAGTAACTCCAGAGCCCTATGATCATAGCATAAAAAATGAACAGAAATCAGAACTGCACCTATGCATGAGAAGCAAAGGCAAAACGATAAAGCTAATAAACCCATGAGAACCTACAATCAGAGATAATCTGATACTTAGTTCTCATATCAGTTACCTTCGAAGCTTTGACATGAGAAAGACAAACTCCAACCAAGCCAACGCCAGAACCAACCTGATTTGACATTCAGTAAGTCATTATGAAAACCAGTTCAAGGAAACAACTCAAAAAAGGAAGACTAAGAGCAAGATGAAGAGAATTACAGCCAGCTACAACATACATCCTGACTTTCTTAAACAACAAAGTTACAAATAAGAGAAGATATATATTCCTTAACATGACCACTACCTCAAAGCAGGTTTTATTGGAGAATCTATCTGGGAAAGAAAGTATAAACTCGGACAAATACAGACTTGAAGGCCAAACAGAACACCTGCAACAAGTAAATGACGGTGCAGTACAATGTTCGTTTCCAGAATCCATGGATAGTGGTATCGGAAACAAATAAGAGGGAGTGTGAAATGAACGGCAGTGAAAGTGAACTTCCATATGTTTTACGCTCCATTAAAGGCAGGACTATCCGTTGAAAACATAAGTAGATTTAAGTATCAAGCCCATTACAAATTTTACCATTAACATGTTGAATCCATCGGGAAAATATAGTTTGATCAAGATTTGTTTTCCCGAGTTCCAGAAAGCAAGCAAGACATCTTTATGAACACAAAGTTCCAAAGCTTGGAATCCCAGAAAGCGGTTGGCCTACTTAAATGCAATTAGACTACAACAGATTTGATAGAAACAAAATGTGACGAGGAAGGAAATCAAGAGCAAAAACTAACAAGAGGGAAGATCATGGAGGTGCATTTGTAAACAATGATATAACAATCAGAAAGCAATCACCATTATAAAAAAAACAATCAGAAATATACTGCTTACCCGGTATCCCCTTCAAGCATGTTAAGGGAGCAATTGAGAGGAACTGATAGAGCTCTAGGTCAAGCTCTATCGGACAATTGGGGATAGGGGGATCAACTAGGGATTGATCCGGGGTTGAGGGGAATTGAGAGAGATTGATTTGGGAGAATTTGGGATGAGAAGAAGAAAGGGGAGGCTGCTGCCGTGCGGCAGCTTTGAGAGGGGAAAGAAGGCTTCGGCCGCCAGAGAGGAAGAGAGGAGAGAGAGATAGTTTTAGGTTTAATTCTTGCTTACCATTCTCTACGTAAACAATAGCCTAAATACCCAAAACACAATTACCTATTAACTCCCCCAAATTATTAATCCCCCACAATATTCCCAATACCCAAAATAATCCCGAACTAAATAATTCAAACCGACATAAACCGAAATAATTAAAATGTCTATCAGGAACCACCAACTTTCTCGATTTGGGACAACTTGAAAGTTCAAGAGAACCTATCCACAATACACGCACAGACCATGAACTAGACATTGAGCCAGAGCAGTAAAGATAAAATTCCACACAACATGTATTTCCAGGTCCTAACTCTTACCATCTGTGAAAAGAAAGTAAGTATGTTTGCAGGCTTTTCCTCTGCCTAAACTGTCTTCCTATAAGACAAGTCATATATTAATCAGTATAGAAGCTAATCTTTTGTACATTGGAGAGGATAATTCAATCAAGAACAAGTGCTCATTCCTAAGAAACCCGTCCAAGGATTACCTTCAATGAGGTCATGTAATAACCATAATGCTCGTATAGTTCGTCCAACACACACCCGTGAGTTGACTCTACTTCAAAAATAAGCTTCTTCACAAAATTCTTCAAGTAAGGGGCATAACCTATGGCAGCCTGCAACAAAGCGGGGGGGGGGGGGGGGGGGGGGGGGAAAGAAAGAACCAAGCTTTATTCCAGACGTAAAATTCACAAAGTGGAAGCCAAGTTTGCACGTTCCATGTCAAAAGAGTTCAATCAGGAGCAGAAAGAAAGGGCTTCAATTCAATCAATAGTCACTCTACTTACAGCTTGGTTTATGCAGTGATCCCATATAAACTTCTGGACATTCTCTGAAACTATCCCTCCGCCGCACGCCCTTAACATATCAAACACAAAAAAGAAACACTGGCAACTCGTCAGCCGCCATACTAGTTGCTAAAGCTGAGCTATCGCATTAAAATGTCTATCATTCCCTTCCTCTTCAAAACAACCTTGTCCTCAAGGTTGGTAGCCTTCTCCTGCGTCTTCCCCGTCTCTCGCTTCATCCTCCGCCTCGTCCTCCCACCTCCCTACCAGCATCATCAAGTCCGGACGTGCACACTTGTGGCCAATCGTGAACCTTTCGTCGCAGTTGAAACACTTCCCTTCCCGCCGCTTCTGCTCGATCTCGGCAGGGGACAGTCGCACAAACCCCTTGGGCGGAGGTCGTGCCCCACCCTTCACGACAGCTACTGGCGCCTGTGCCGCCGTGGGTCCTCCAGCTCCAACCGCGGTCCCAGCCGCTCCTCCTCCTCCACCGCTGAGTCCGCTACTGCTCCCGGCGCCCCCTGCCCGCGGATTGCGGCCCATGGTGCTCCTCCAACTCGCCAGCTCCTCTTCCTTGTACCCTGCAAGACGAAAAGCAGATTTCACGGAATCCGGCTCAAAGATCCGGACAGCAGCAGCAATCTCCGGCTTCAGGCCGGCCATGCACAACCCCACCAGTGTCTCCTCCGGGATCCCATGGCATTGATTGCCCAATTTGAAGAACTCTGCACGGTAGTCCGCAACAGAGCCAGTCTGCTTCAGCTTAGCCAACTGCTCTGGGGCCCACCCCTCCGATTTCCCAAACTGATAACGCAGCTCCTCCTGGAACAGCGGCCAAGTGATCAGAGTTCCCACCGCCCCATAGGACCTCTCCATCCATTCCCACCACTGCAGCGCTTCTCCCTCTAAGTAGAAGGACGCCAGATGCGCCTTCCTCTCCTCCGGAATGGGGTGGTTTCTGAACTACCTCTCTGCTGCATACAACCACAGCCCTGCATCCTCCTGACCATTGAATTTTGGAAACTCAATGGTCGGGGGTTTGGCTCGAAAGACCATCCCATCAGCTCCATCATAAGCAGGATGATACGAACCATACCTGTCATAACCGGGAGCACCCCCTGGCTGGTCTGGGTAGAACGGAGTCCCCCTTCCTCGCCCAAAGCTGCCTGCGGGCCCTCGCCCCGCCGGTCCTGCCCAATTCCCTGCACCGTGCGATCCGCGCCACATGTTCGGGTCCATGCTGGCCGATCTAACCAGCCCCGGTTCGAACCGGTTCGGTCCACTTTCGGTTCGACCCGGTTCGGGTCCGCCCCGACCCGACCCACCTCGACCCGACCCGGTCAGCCCCGGGTCGGTCTGACCAGCCGAGCCGCCTCCTCGACCCAGCCCCGGTCCACCCGGCCCAAACCGGCCCTCCTGGCCCGGCCCGAACCGGCCCTCATGGCCTGGCCCGAATCGGCCCTCCTGGCCCGGCCTAACCTGCACGATCTGGGCCCCTGTCACGTCCGGGCCCAAATAGTCCCCGCCACCCGCCGGGTCGGCCCATGGTGCGTTCTGGCCCACCAGGCTGAGCTCCTCCTCGATCCGCTCGCGATCCATGGTCAGCCACCCCAGTCCTCTGGGCTCGTGGTACTGGCCCACTGTGTCGCTCCGGCCCATTGGCCTAGGCGGCCCCTGCCCAGTCGGCGGAGGCCCATTGTCGTACCCTGGCATCTTGGCCTTACCCTTGCGGGCCGCCAACTCCTGGGCCGTTGGTGTCGGTAGAAGCCCAGGCCCACCGCTGCGCCCTGGCTGACCCTGGCCCACTCGCTCCCCGGCACCGGGCACCATCTCCGCCGCGTCAACCACCTCGTCAGCCGCCGTTGGGGGCGGCGCCTCCGCCACCACCATCGCCCCCGCTGTCGCGCCACCCGCCGCCGCTACGGTGTTCGCCACCGCGCCTCCATCCGTCGTCGAGCCTCCCAGCCCGCTCCGGCTGTCGCTCCCATCGCCGCCGCCGCCACCCTTCGGCCCAGTGGCTTGCGCGGCGGCCAGCGCCTCCACGACCCTCTGCACCTCATCAAACCGCTTCCAAACTCGCCGGGACTCCTCCTCCTGTTCCCGCCGCTGTTCGCCTTGCTCCTGCCGGAGCGCCCGCCATTCCTTGCGCTCCTTCTCGAACTCGGCTACCAGGCGATCCAAAGTAGACTGGATCAGCTCCAACCTTTCAGTTTCGTCCACCAGCTCACCGTCCCGCGGATCGGTGGCCCCCTGGTTGCCGCCGCCAGCTACCGGCAGCCAGGTCGAGACCGCGGTGGAGGCCTGCTCCGGCGCCGCCGCCTTGGCAGCCTTCTCCGCCGCTGTCATCGATTTTGTGGACACCATTGCACCCTTCTTTCGCTGTTTGTGATCGAACCCAAGAACCGGGCTCTGATACCAAATGATAGAGCTCTAGGTCAAGCTCTATCGGACAATTGGGGATAGGGGGATCAACTAGGGATTGATCCGGGGTTGAGGGGAATTGAGAGAGATTGATTTGGGAGAATTTGGGATGAGAAGAAGAAAGGGGAGGCTGCTGCCGTGCGGCAGCTTTGAGAGGGGAAAGAAGGCTTCGGCCGCCAGAGAGGAAGAGAGGAGAGAGAGAGATAGTTTTAGGTTTAATTCTTGCTTACCATTCTCTACGTAAACAATAGCCTAAATACCCAAAACACAATTACCTACTAACTCCCCCAAATTATTAATCCCCCACAATATTCCCAATACCCAAAATAATCCCGAACTAAATAATTCAAACCGACATAAACCGAAATAATTAAAATGTCTATCAGGAACCACCAACTTTCTCGATTTGGGACAACTTGAAAGTTCAAGAGAACCTATCCACAATACACGCACAGACCATGAACTAGACATTGAGCCAGAGCAGTAAAGATAAAATTCCACACAACATGTATTTCCAGGTCCTAACTCTTACCATCTGTGAAAAGAAAGTAAGTATGTTTGCAGGCTTTTCCTCTGCCTAAACTGTCTTCCTATAAGACAAGTCATATATTAATCAGTATAGAAGCTAATCTTTTGTACATTGGAGAGGATAATTCAATCAAGAACAAGTGCTCATTCCTAAGAAACCCGTCCAAGGATTACCTTCAATGAGGTCATGTAATAACCATAATGCTCGTATAGTTCGTCCAACACACACCCGTGAGTTGACTCTACTTCAAAAATAAGCTTCTTCACAAAATTCTTCAAGTAAGGGGCATAACCTATGGCAGCCTGCAACAAAGGGGGGGGGGGAAAAGAAAGAACCAAGCTTTATTCCAGACGTAAAATTCACAAAATGGAAGCCAAGTTTGCACGTTCCATGTCAAAAGAGTTCAATCAGGAGCAGAAAGAAAGGGCTTCAATTCAATCAATAGTCACTCTACTTACAGCTTGGTTTATGCAGTGATCCCATATAAACTTCTGGACATTCTCTGAAACTATCCCTCCGCCGCACGCCCTTAACATATCAAACACAAAAAAGAAACACTGGCAACTCGTCAGCCGCCATACTAGTTGCTAAAGCTGAGCTATCGCATTAAAATGTCTATCATTCCCTTCCTCTTCAAAACAACCTTGTCCTCAAGGTTGGTAGCCTTCTCCTGCGTCTTCCCCGTCTCTCGCTTCATCCTCCGCCTCGTCCTCCCACCTCCCTACCAGCATCATCAAGTCCGGACGTGCACACTTGTGGCCAATCGTGAACCTTTCGTCGCAGTTGAAACACTTCCCTTCCCGCCGCTTCTGCTCGATCTCGGCAGGGGACAGTCGCACAAACCCCTTGGGCGGAGGTCGTGCCCCACCCTTCACGACAGCTACTGGCGCCTGTGCCGCCGTGGGTCCTCCAGCTCCAACCGCGGTCCCAGCCGCTCCTCCTCCTCCACCGCTGAGTCCGCTACTGCTCCCGGCGCCCCCTGCCCGCGGATTGCGGCCCATGGTGCTCCTCCAACTCGCCAGCTCCTCTTCCTTGTACCCTGCAAGACGAAAAGCAGATTTCACGGAATCCGGCTCAAAGATCCGGACAGCAGCAGCAATCTCCGGCTTCAGGCCGGCCATGCACAACCCCACCAGTGTCTCCTCCGGGATCCCATGGCATTGATTGCCCAATTTGAAGAACTCTGCACGGTAGTCCGCAACAGAGCCAGTCTGCTTCAGCTTAGCCAACTGCTCTGGGGCCCACCCCTCCGATTTCCCAAACTGATAACGCAGCTCCTCCTGGAACAGCGGCCAAGTGATCAGAGTTCCCACCGCCCCATAGGACCTCTCCATCCATTCCCACCACTGCAGCGCTTCTCCCTCTAAGTAGAAGGACGCCAGATGCGCCTTCCTCTCCTCCGGAATGGGGTGGTTTCTGAACTACCTCTCTGCTGCATACAACCACAGCCCTGCATCCTCCTGACCATTGAATTTTGGAAACTCAATGGTCGGGGGTTTGGCTCGAAAGACCATCCCATCAGCTCCATCATAAGCAGGATGATACGAACCATACCTGTCATAACCGGGAGCACCCCCTGGCTGGTCTGGGTAGAACGGAGTCCCCCTTCCTCGCCCAAAGCTGCCTGCGGGCCCTCGCCCCGCCGGTCCTGCCCAATTCCCTGCACCGTGCGATCCGCGCCACATGTTCGGGTCCATGCTGGCCGATCTAACCAGCCCCGGTTCGAACCGGTTCGGTCCACTTTCGGTTCGACCCGGTTCGGGTCCGCCCCGACCCGACCCACCTCGACCCGACCCGGTCAGCCCCGGGTCGGTCTGACCAGCCGAGCCGCCTCCTCGACCCAGCCCCGGTCCACCCGGCCCAAACCGGCCCTCCTGGCCCGGCCCGAACCGGCCCTCATGGCCTGGCCCGAATCGGCCCTCCTGGCCCGGCCTAACCTGCACGATCTGGGCCCCTGTCACGTCCGGGCCCAAATAGTCCCCGCCACCCGCCGGGTCGGCCCATGGTGCGTTCTGGCCCACCAGGCTGAGCTCCTCCTCGATCCGCTCGCGATCCATGGTCAGCCACCCCAGTCCTCTGGGCTCGTGGTACTGGCCCACTGTGTCGCTCCGGCCCATTGGCCTAGGCGGCCCCTGCCCAGTCGGCGGAGGCCCATTGTCGTACCCTGGCATCTTGGCCTTACCCTTGCGGGCCGCCAACTCCTGGGCCGTTGGTGTCGGTAGAAGCCCAGGCCCACCGCTGCGCCCTGGCTGACCCTGGCCCACTCGCTCCCCGGCACCGGGCACCATCTCCGCCGCGTCAACCACCTCGTCAGCCGCCGTTGGGGGCGGCGCCTCCGCCACCACCATCGCCCCCGCTGTCGCGCCACCCGCCGCCGCTACGGTGTTCGCCACCGCGCCTCCATCCGTCGTCGAGCCTCCCAGCCCGCTCCGGCTGTCGCTCCCATCGCCGCCGCCGCCACCCTTCGGCCCAGTGGCTTGCGCGGCGGCCAGCGCCTCCACGACCCTCTGCACCTCATCAAACCGCTTCCAAACTCGCCGGGACTCCTCCTCCTGTTCCCGCCGCTGTTCGCCTTGCTCCTGCCGGAGCGCCCGCCATTCCTTGCGCTCCTTCTCGAACTCGGCTACCAGGCGATCCAAAGTAGACTGGATCAGCTCCAACCTTTCAGTTTCGTCCACCAGCTCACCGTCCCGCGGATCGGTGGCCCCCTGGTTGCCGCCGCCAGCTACCGGCAGCCAGGTCGAGACCGCGGTGGAGGCCTGCTCCGGCGCCGCCGCCTTGGCAGCCTTCTCCGCCGCTGTCATCGATTTTGTGGACACCATTGCACCCTTCTTTCGCTGTTTGTGATCGAACCCAAGAACCGGGCTCTGATACCAAATGATAGAGCTCTAGGTCAAGCTCTATCGGACAATTGGGGATAGGGGGATCAACTAGGGATTGATCCGGGGTTGAGGGGAATTGAGAGAGATTGATTTGGGAGAATTTGGGATGAGAAGAAGAAAGGGGAGGCTGCTGCCGTGCGGCAGCTTTGAGAGGGGAAAGAAGGCTTCGGCCGCCAGAGAGGAAGAGAGGAGAGAGAGAGATAGTTTTAGGTTTAATTCTTGCTTACCATTCTCTACGTAAACAATAGCCTAAATACCCAAAACACAATTACCTACTAACTCCCCCAAATTATTAATCCCCCACAATATTCCCAATACCCAAAATAATCCCGAACTAAATAATTCAAACCGACATAAACCGAAATAATTAAAATGTCTATCAGGAACCACCAACTTTCTCGATTTGGGACAACTTGAAAGTTCAAGAGAACCTATCCACAATACACGCACAGACCATGAACTAGACATTGAGCCAGAGCAGTAAAGATAAAATTCCACACAACATGTATTTCCAGGTCCTAACTCTTACCATCTGTGAAAAGAAAGTAAGTATGTTTGCAGGCTTTTCCTCTGCCTAAACTGTCTTCCTATAAGACAAGTCATATATTAATCAGTATAGAAGCTAATCTTTTGTACATTGGAGAGGATAATTCAATCAAGAACAAGTGCTCATTCCTAAGAAACCCGTCCAAGGATTACCTTCAATGAGGTCATGTAATAACCATAATGCTCGTATAGTTCGTCCAACACACACCCGTGAGTTGACTCTACTTCAAAAATAAGCTTCTTCACAAAATTCTTCAAGTAAGGGGCATAACCTATGGCAGCCTGCAACAAAGGGGGGGGGGGGGGAAAGAAAGAACCAAGCTTTATTCCAGACGTAAAATTCACAAAATGGAAGCCAAGTTTGCACGTTCCATGTCAAAAGAGTTCAATCAGGAGCAGAAAGAAAGGGCTTCAATTCAATCAATAGTCACTCTACTTACAGCTTGGTTTATGCAGTGATCCCATATAAACTTCTGGACATTCTCTGAAACTATCCCTCCGCCGCACGCCCTTAACATATCAAACACAAAAAAAGAAACACTGGCAACTCGTCAGCCGCCATACTAGTTGCTAAAGCTGAGCTATCGCATTAGGGATAGAGATCAGATGGAATTACCTTGCAATGGAGATTAACGAGTCGGAAGGCTCCATGGCGAGGAAGGCGGAGACCAAGTGAAGGCCTGGAGGGAAGTTGGGATCAAGCTCCTCTGAGTTCGCCATAGCTGATAGCTGCCCCGGCGTTTCGCCAACAAAGGAGACTGCTCTGGAAATCACAGTAATGTGGTTGCAGTGATACAAAGAAATCGCTACTGAACCTGCCGACTCCAGAATGGTGTCTGTTCTGGAGAGAAAACGTGGGGACAAATGCCGAACTCATCCGCATCCGCATCCGCATCCGCATCCGTGCTGTCGTTTCACTTTGTTAAGAAAAAGCAACGACAAATAGTGACAAATGGCTAGCTGACACGTGTGCAATTACGCGGGGCTTAAAAGTTAAAATCAAATCATGCTCGCTCGGGTCAGAGACTCAGAGTCGATTGCGAATTAATTTTTTTCCCCTTCCGCTTCCTCTCTCTCTCATTCCCATTTCCCGCCAACTGAAGGAAAAGAGCTCACAAGAATTGTGAGGTTGGCTCTCGTTTCTCTCCTCTTGTTCGTTGTTTGGTTTCGGAGAAAATCCTCGCTACTTCTTCTGAGAAGATCGCTTCTGCTTTTTCAGTCGCCATCGACGAACTGCAGCCTCGAATTCGATTCAAGTGGATGATTTACCGTGCATTCTTTAGTCAATTCCATGGATGATTTACTAGAGGTGGCAAATGGATTGGATTGGTGGATTGGATTGGTGGATCCATGGATCAAATGGATTGGATCTAATGGATTCATGGATTGGATCAAGTGGATTGGTGGATTATCCATGAATCCAAATGACATCCTCAACCAAGGACCAATATGTAAAATATAAAAAGTTTAGGTACTAAAATGTCATAATGAAAAATTTTAGGTACCAAAACGTAATTTTCCAATGATATTTTTCGTATAAAAAATTAAATTTTAGGTACCAAAATGTAAAAAATAAAAATTATAGGTACTAAACCGTAATTTGCCAATGATCCATGGATCCAATCCATGAATCCACCAATCCAATTGGATTTGGATCAAATGGATTGGATTTAAATGGATTGGATTAGGTGGATATTTTTAATGGATTGATGGATTGGATTGGTGGATTGGATTGAAATTGCCACCTCTATGATTTACTGAAGAAGAAAATGCATGTCATGATAATTAGATTCTTGCTATTGCATATTTGTAGTCACTTAATGACAATCATACTGATTGGTATTTTGCTGTAGGGCAAAGCATATAAAGACATCGCTTACTGCTAAACGGATAGTTGATGCGGAAACTGGGTTTACTAAAACCGTTCATGTTTGGTCACTGCAAATATTTAATTTCATTCATGGTCACTAAGATTAGTTCAATAGTTCAAGTTTGGTCACTCTCCGTTAGTATCCATTAGTTTTTGCTGATGTGGCGGTCAACTATTATAGTTGACCGTTAAATGAGTGACGTGGCCATTAAAAAAATAATAAAATAATAAAATTTAAATATTTACAATTTACACCTCATTTTACAACCATTAAAAAATAAAAATAATGAGTGATGTGGCCGGATCAGGGACTTGATGGGGCGGGTGACATTGCAGGAAAAGATCGGCCAGATAGTTCAGATTGATCGCAAAGTCGCTTCAGCTGACGTCGTGAAAAACTACTTCATCGGTAAGACGACGATAAAAAAAAATAGATCGAGCTGCTTTTGCTCTTTTTTTTAGGGCAAATAAAAAAAAAGACTGCAACATTATGGGTTGGGGGACATGCAGGAAGTATATTGAGCGGGGGAGGAAGCGTCCCGGCCAGAAAGCTTCGCCGGAGGAATGGATCAAGATGGTCAACGAGTACCAAAGGGGCTCCATGTCGACCAGGCTAGGGATTCCGTTGATTTACGGGATCGACGTCGTTCATGGTCACAACAATGTGTACAATGCCACCATTTTCCCTCACAACATCGGCCTCGGAGCTACCAGGTGAGTGATCAGTTTTCAATTTCATCACTCTCCCCCCCCCCTTCCTTTTATTATTTCTGGCCGCGCGTCTTAGAGTGATGAGCTGGATGGATGATTGTGGTGGTTTCCAGATCTAGGAACGTGTTGATTAAAATTCCCTTTCCGTCTCGGTATCGTTTGACGAAATCCAAAAATCCGTCGCAGAGGAATGGGTTGAGAACAGGACGAGGGAGGACTTTGCCTGGAATCGAGTTATTGAAGCCTTCGATTGACCAATTGGCTTCTGGGTTGTTGAAATCGGTGATGGGAGTGTTGTGGTTGTCCCGGAGATTCTGGAGATGGAGGGCGAGATTGAGGCATCCGGCGCCAGAGGTGTAGAAGATGTAGCTCGGGAGGCCGAATTCGTCGGCGACGTCGATGAATGTGGTGCAGAACATGTCCACGAGGAGCCCGGAGACGAGAGAGGAGGCCTGGACGAGCTTGGCGACGGCGTCGCGGACGTGTGATTTGTATGAGTCCATGAAGAATTTGACGACGTCTTGACGGTGGGGTCGACGGCGGCGTCGTTGGGTGGGAGGTCGACGAACTTGACCCGGTCGGAGAGCGCAGCGGCGGCGTGGTAACTTTTATTTTTATTTTTTAATAGATGTAAAATGAAGTGTAAATTGTAAATATTTAAATTTTATTATTTTTTAATGGCCACGTCACTCATTTAACGGTCAACTATAATAGTTGACTACCACATCAGCAAAAACTAACGGAGACTAACGGAGAGTGACCAAACTTGAACTATTGAACTAATCTTAGTGACCATGAATGAAATTAAATATTTGCAGTGACCAAACATGAACGGTTTAGTAAACCCAGTGACAATCCTTGCAATTAACCCATATTTATGGCTATCAGAGTGTATTTTGTCAATAACGTAACATAAATTTTCAATTCTTTCAACATTAAAGTTGGTTGCGATATTCATAAAAAAAAAAAAGTTGGTTGCAATCATTGATCGATGATTAATGCAGGCTGGAACGAGTTGGGATAGATGAGGGCTTAGCAATTAGATTTTCTCGACGAACAGCCAGAGGAAGCATAGACACCTTACCCATGATGACAGCTGCCCAGATTGCAATGATACTCCAGAAACCAATCTGCACTGCTTGAGAGACTGCAGAGTATCAAAAGCCATATGGGACAGGATCATTGCCGGCCAACACCAGTCTTCCTTCTTTAATTCAAGCTACGAGAATTGGCTGCAAGAAAACATCATGAACGAGTCAAGCGGAGATTGGCCAGGCACCTGGGCTGCCTACTTCTGCCTGATTCTTTGGTACATATGGAAGTGCAGGAATGACAGTATTTTCAGGGGCAAGAAACTTACCCCTTCTTCCATGTTTAATTACGTGACGACTAAGGCGAAAGAATGGAGCAAGGCCTGGCAAGCAGGGAATCTCGACATAACTATTAGTGCTCGCCCTGCTAGACACGAAGCTCTTATCGGTTGGAATCTGCCAACAACGGGGTGGAGGAAGGTTAATACTGATGGGGCAGCGCAAGGAACCCCGACCTTGGCAACTGCAGGAGGTGTTCTCCGAAATGATCAGGGAGACTGGTTGGGGGGTTTCGTCAGCAAGATGGGATCAGGTACAGCCATTATGGCGGAACTCTGGGGCATCTTCCAAGGCCTCCAACTTGCTTGGAAAAAAGATTCCCAGTTTCTCATACTTGAAACAGATTCCCAGCTTGCTTTGGACCTCATCAGAAATCGAACAGATCAAACTCACCCTCACGCTACTATCTTGGGAGCTATTCGCAGACTTCTAGCGCAAAGGTGGGTGGTCCAACTCGTTCATACGTATCGAGAAGGAAATAGAGTCGCGGACTGGCTCTCGAAGCACAGTCTCGTCTATCCCTTTGGTACGTATGAACTTGATGGACCCCCTCCGGATCTAAAGACAATGCTTCAAGAAGACCTTTTGGGAGTCAGCTTTCCCCGTCAAGTGATCCACTCTGATTGATTCCTGCTTTAAGAGTCCTTTCTGTTTGGGATTGAGCTGGTTTTGCTTTGTTTTAGAGTTGACCTGTTCTAGGCCAATGTGGTTAGGGGCTGTTTAATTTCCCCTGTGTTCTTCTGGCATTTGCCTCCATTTTATCAAAAAAAAAAAAAAGCAATTAGATTTTCTCGAAGAGTTATCTCTTTGATAAATTAATAAAACTTAAAAGGGTCGAACAACTTTCACTCGTTCTGAAGTTGGCTTGCCTTGGTTTGTGTTAGACATTGTTTCCATTTAATAAAATTTTACCATTATAAAAAAAAAACATCGAACAAAATTATAGATTTGAATTTCAAAGAGTAGGTCTAGCGATAATGTGAGAGAATAAGATGTATCACACCTTAGGTAACTTAATTTGTTAGTTTACGGCGGCCGCGCCCGCTTTAGAGAGTGAAAACGTGATTCCTTGGTAAAACGTAGGAAATTCACGAATTATATACATAGAGAGCGCGAATTATATTGATCCAGAATGCGAATTAACCATTATTTTGCAGAAGTTGACATGCATCAATCTCTTCTATATGGGAAGAAATCCAGACAACCACTAGTTTCGGGAGAAAAGAGAAACAAAATAGCTGATGATAGATGACGAGCCGGCGGAGATGTGAGATGTTGCGACATGTTCAGGGCTGGCTGATTTTGTATGCAACAATGGAGTTGCCCTCGGCAGGGCCGTGAGTCCGTGACCTCCAACATGTTTGAGCAGTCAGTGAGATCTATGTATATGGACAAGTCCAACATATATAGTGAGCTTTTTAAACTGCAACTAGCCATTCCGAGGACGATCAGATGGAGGTTCGAAGTTAAAAGTCGTCAGGTCGTACTTGAGAAACTGCAATCTCGGTGCAAACTTGTTGAATTGCGAACGAGAGAGCAATGTTTAAATGGAAATTGGAAAAGACATAGGATGGCGGAAGCTATTGCCAGTAAGAAGATAGAGAGAAATGCAATGGGAGGTTTTTGTTATTATGCAGAAATAGGTAGTTGTTTGTTGGCTTGGCAGTTATAAATTTGTGGCTCTTCTTTTTCCCATCTTATCTGTGAGGATTTTTATTTTTTTTAATAAACTTCTTTCCATTCTCTTTTTGTTTTTAAAAAAAATACATAACTCATATTTTAAGACTCAAAAGAATAATAAAAGGTAGAGGCAAGATAAAAAGTAAAGCTACTTTATGGTTAAAACTAATTAAAAAAAAACTAAACTATGGTATCTCACTATCTTTAGTTTGGATGGTGGGCGAAAAATTGTATCCGAAAGAGTTCATGTATATGTTTTTATATAATTATTCTTTTAGTTATTAATGTACTAACTACTAACTATATAATTTATATTTTATGATAAAAAAATATAATTAGTGTTTTTTAATACTTGTATTATTGTAGTCATATGATATTACAAACAAATAAATAAAATTTGATGCTCTCTCCACGCTCTCAATATTGAATTCTTCTAAAACAGACGCTCTCACGCTCTCGCTCTCGCTTCACGAACTGATTACCTAAAATTCACACCTTGGCTTAACGAATTTGAAGGTTCGGGTTTTTCGTGTGATTTTTTTATTTGTTTCTATTTTTTATGCAGAAACTATAATTTAATCTTTATAGTTGAAACTAAATTAAACCGTTGTAGTTTGATAGAAGAAACACTCAAAATGAGTAGGGGGAGGGCTGTAGGTGCGTATGTTTTGACCGATTTTTAGTCATTCAACCAACGAGTTTCGATTTGAATTATGGTAAATCCAAACACACCCATGAGTTTCAAGTTCTTATTGGGTTTTAAACTTTTAGTCACAGGCTAGGTCGTGGTATGGTGAAGTCCAACTCACCATAAGAGAATATTGTAATAACATGTTGGATTCTTACAAGAAAAATACCATACAAAATTTTATTTAAAAAATAAAAAAATATTCAATTTTGACGTCTCTTGGATAATTTCATTTCACAATAGCTTGGTTTCATATTGTGTTTTAGATGAGGTGAACATTTTGACTTTTGAGTCAAGTCTCAAGATGTTTATTCACCATGCCTAGACCACGATGATGCAACGAATCTAACTCTTTGACGTGAATGCTTATTGTAATGTTGTCTGCATTGGATGTCAACATATCTAGTATTCAGTCTCATGCTACTTCATTAAATTTGGTGATAGTCCAGTGTTACGCCGCACTAAGAAGTATCACCCGATCATGAGCTCAATCTAATTATCGAGTATAGCTAGCACCCGATCATGAGCTCAATCTAATTATCGAGTATAGCTAGCACGGTTAGTGAAGTTATTTGGTTAGTTGGTTTCTCAATGAACTTGGACCTCGCTACATGTGACAATCAAACGGTCTAACATAGTGCAGCCAACACTATGTTTTATAAACGCACCAAACACGTGGGTATATAGACTACTACTTTGCTGGCAAGCGAAAATAATCATACGCATCATTAGAGTGAGTTGTTTAGCGCTAAATATAAACTCTTGATGTTCAATTCGCTTCTTTCTCAAAAGACCTGGAAATGTTTACATGAACTGTAAACATCACAACAAGATAAAAAATTAAAAACGCAGTTACTCTCTAGACATTTCAATCAGAGGAAATCAACAGAGGCCTAGAAACTGCATCTTCCTTATCATCCTCTCTCCAATCATCCACTTGGCCATAATACTTTGTACAAATGTGGATCATGGATTCGAGTGACTGGAAGTACACCGACCCTATTTCCTGGAAATGTAAGCATAGTATTGAGCCATGGGAACGACAAAGGCAATCACCAGGAGACCTCCAACCACTAGAGTGAACTGCCCTCGCTTCTCGTCCGTCTCCTCCTTGGTCTTGAAGTTGGATTCTCTCTTGTTATCCTTCACCGTCGGTCCACCTGGATCTGGGAGTCCATCGATGGCCGCCACTAACCTCTTGGCACTGCTCAAAAGTGCTTCATTGTACTTCTCTTCCGTGGCCAAAACTGCAACAACAATAGACCCCAGAGCATCCTATTGAACATGAGATTCAAATAGAGAGAAACGACACATATGGAGCCATCTCTTCCACAAGGACAACAGACATTGTCCATGTATCTCTATGCCCTGAGAGTTGTGCAACCAACATACCAGATCATATTGGATCAAATCGACATTGTGGTCAAATTGGACCAAAGCAAATATAATTTCATTCGGTTTCGATAACTTATCCTCTCAAAACAAACAAGAAAAACGGGTTGAACCCATAAAAATAGCTAGAATGTGCTTTTGATTCTCGACTACAGTCCTCTTTCTTTCTTTCTTAAATTTTGATCTAACCTATGCCAAATTGATCCGATTTTGAACCGCAACACGCCATGTTCACCATTCACCCCCTAATAGCCATACACTACTAGATTACAACAGTCTACCAACATTCTTGAGAAGAACCTAATCCAGAAACTAACAATTCATGTAAATATGAACAGACTTTACCTGGAAGATTCTCTGATACCGTAGCATCAAGCACGCTTTCTCCAACAGCTTGCACAAATGCAGGCCCTCCTGTAACAGCACCTTCCTTTTGGCTAGTTACCAGGACAACAATGCCTTTATTGTTCCCTTCTTCAACACTTGGGTACCATTTCTCGAGCACTTGGTCTGCATACTCAAAAGCATCAGCTTTGCTCTGCCAGAAACATCTCCAATCAGATCAAATCCCTTTGTTGTCCAACCACTACAACATGAATCGAAACGGGGGCAAATTTAGAATCCACTCACGGTGAGCTTCCTGACAGTGATGAAGTTGATCTTGAACTTCTTCCTGTACTCCAAATCGGACAAGAGATTTTTGAGATCGGTCTTGGTGACTCGACTGAGCACACCGGCGTCATCCACCACGTAAGAATCCTTGGGCGGGCCTTCATTGATCACATCGAACTCTGAAGCGAAAGCATTGTTGGCCGTCACTGGAGTGAAGCTGAGCGCCAAGGAGAGAGCGAGAGCTGCAATTCCTTGTTGGGCATGAACCAACCAATTCCTGGGTATTGCTAAGGAGGATTTAACAGACTTTAAAGTCTGCTTCTTTGGGCTACTGCTGGTGGAACAAGTGATGATGGGTTTGGGGAGATGGATTGAAGGTGGAGGGAGATAGGGTTTTGGGTTGAAGAAAGGGGAAGAGAGGGAATGAGAGGAAAGGAAGGTTGCCATGGGAGTAAGTGAAGAATAGAGCAATGGCGGAGAAAGGCTAGGAGAGACTAGCGATAGTGGCGTCATTGTTTCTCCTGGGAAGAATCCCTTTTCGTTTGATTGGGTGAGTATTTTCTCTGTGGCTTGGATTTGGTTTCTGTTTTTTTTTTCCCGATTGGTTCAGTGGTTGCCAATATTTCGAGAATGGATAAGGCGTAACGGATTCTCATCTAGAAAGAGTTTGACCGATTGAGGCATTTTGGTCAATCCATCTTTTTGTCAACCCGTTTTATCGCATTGGATTGGTTTTAGTGGGTTGAGAACTAATGGTGCGATAGGGGTGGGCACGTGGGTGGTTAATCGCGGATTGACATCGAGTCACCCACAAATAACTCGACCCGCACGCAATGGGTGATTGATGTGGGTGGATTGCGGATTGTTAAATCTCTCACCCGCACTTATGTGGGTGGATGGTGGGTGGATTACGGGCCACTCGTATGACCCGCGTCCTATTTTTACATGGAAAAATGTTGTTCTTATAGTATCGATTATTTATCATATTTTCGAACTGCACTGTAGTCTAACCATATACTTCAAAAAGTGAAGAATAAATAATAGTTTTTACTACTATTATTGATTATTGTGTTGTGCAATATCCATTGACAATGGATATTGGTATGCAAATTATTGTTAATATCCATTAAATATTGGGATACAAACTACAAATTATTAATTGTATCAAAATCACAAATTATTGATACAATCTTACTAATTTGCTTTGAACTTATTATAAATGTTAGTCAATTTTCTTCATGGTTAGTTGGAGAATTGTTTTTGCGGGTTAACCCGCGACCCAACTGCACCCATCCGTCACCCACCCAACCCAACCCGCATAAGTATGTGGGTGGATTGCGGGTCACATATATTCCAACCCACTAGTAAGCGGGTGGGTCAATTTTAGACCAAAACCCACCCAACCCGCCCATTGCCCACCCCTATGGTGCGATCACTTTATTTCGATTTAGTACACATTTATAAAAAAGACATTATATTGTTAATATTTTTATAACGTCTTAAATATCATCTAACATATTAGTAACGGAATACATTCAGGATCATTTCATTTGGAAGTAGTTCATAGCCACAAGTCCTTTAGATATGGTAAATCACAAAGGGTAATGAAATACATTCAGGATTTGGCTACTATAGTTTGTTTTGTATCTGTATGAAACAATCACATCACCATATCAAAGAGATAGCTCGTCTTCGATCAATCAATATGAGAATCAAATAATATATAGGATTTGGATATAAAGTTCCCAAATCTCTCTTTGATAATACCATAATAGAACAATCGCATATATTGTTTCTGAATGTAACAAAGTATTTCCAACGTTTCATTAAGGGAAACATTGTATTTTGCTAATATTATCAACACCAACATGATATTTTCTATGATGCTCTAATGCATCAACATATGGTACTTCAAGATCTAGTACATAAACATATAGTACTTCATTAATGTTTCACTTCTTTCTTGATGCCTAAATGGATCTTTGGTCAGTGGTCACTTCTAGTGATCTTAGGATCCTAATGTTATTTGATAAACATAATTTGTTAATACAAAATTACTTTTCCACTTTTTCAACATTACCTTCCTTGCCCATAAAAGGATCTTAAATCCTTCAATTGAACTTATATCTCTAAGAAATCTACTGCTTTAGGAAACTCTTCAGGAGCTCCAATAATATTCATATCATCAACATAATATGAGATCGTCACAAAGAATTGATACAAGCAATTCTTTCATATGACGAAAGATAATAGCAAAACTCACATAATAGAAACAATATGAACTCGACAAAGCACACTCATAAAACGCAAATCATACTTTAAAGTAAAACACAACAAATAAACCAAGAATTTAAAGTCGTTGAAGCACATACAGACAACACAACTACATATGCACAATGCAAATGCTCTAATGTACTTTATCTGGATTTAACATTTTAAGGTCATTCACCCTACGGTTGTAGGTGTTCACTTAGACGAGTATTTCACATTCGTCTATATTGTCACAACCCATACAAGGGATTTTCTTAGTCTATCGATATATGTTCTCGAGAACTTTACTTGTTTACTTCAGGTAAACTAATCCTTTTGAGAGTTTCAAATATATATAACATCTTCGGGGAATTCAAACAAATAGACTATAACAACAATTTTCAAATTTAGATTTGAAAAGGTAGTTGCATCCACCACAGGGGAGCATGTCTCATCTCAAACAATGATAGGCTGTTCGAGAAACCCATTGCAAAACATTGTGCTATATCTATGACAATTTCATATTTTCCAATATCACAAGAATTTGTTTGTATCCCGCTAGTTTTACCCTTTTCAGGTGTAAGGACTTCTGGTCCTTAAACATTATGCTCCTTGAGCAAGTTTCATAATTTCTTTCTATATTGGCCAATAACATCATCATTTGCATGCATCAATAGAGTTTTACTCTTGATCCTCACTTATATATATAATATTCAGTACCGAAGTACAACAAACAAATTTCGTCGACAATGACTTCATTATTATGAAACTAGTTATAATTAGAAATTAATTATGGTTAGCTCCCCTTTTTGTTAATTACTTACCTTGTCTCAACCAGATTTAATTGTGTTTTGATGTCTTCTTTTTTTAATTGTTGCTTTAATCGCCACAAGTTAAATAATTTTAAACAAACTTTGATTGCTTTTTTATTACTTTTTCTGCTAACCGTTGGAGTAATTTGGGGCATTTATTAGAGTCTTTTTATAGAATTATTATAGTCACCAATTTTTCTAACGTGAGGTTAAGTTACCTTGTTCTATTGGTCAGCTCATGCTTACATTTTTTTCATATTTCAGTTGTGTTTTTTGTATTTTCACTCAAAATTTCTTTTTTAATAATCTCCGATTTACCTTTTGTGTTTTACAATTGCATTTAACTTGGCGTGCCTTTATTTTTTATTAATGTTGGTGGTTGCTTTGGGCCTTTGGTTATATTATTGTGATGGAAGACAATGAGTAGTTTAATATTTTTGTATTAAGTACGTTTGCCTTATGCCTAGTTCGTTCTTGAACATTAGTTTATTATCAAGGTTAGACCATGTTTATCAGTTGAATATTTTGTAATTTTTGGACAATTACCAATACCACTATTGTAAAATAAATGATTCACATGATTTATAGATTAACCTTATTTAGTTTGAAAATTTCTTTCATTTTAAGTTTAAAAATATTAAAATTATGTGATCATATGGAATATATGTTATAAACCCACTGAGTCCACCCAACAACCCATCATCCGCAATCACTCAACCCAACCCACCCACATGTAATGCTTGGGTGAGTGTGGATCATTTTTTCCTTCACCCACCAAGTAGTGGTTGGTTCAAAACCCACCCAAATCCTTATAAAATCACCCACTGCTCACCCCTATATTTTTTAGTGATAGGGGTTTTGATATGTAATCAATTTCTTCTATTTATTTTCTTATGATAATAAATAATTGCCATACACAAACTAATATTTAAAGGCACTTATTTCATCAAAATATTAGTCAAAATATAAGAATGTTGATTGTAGGATGTTTCTTTTATTTTTTTGGTAGAAAATGGGACGCTAAAAGGGCGCCCCTGCCAGACACTTAAATTAAACGAAACTGGCCAATGCCCATAGTATCAGACAATACCCAAAAGTTCATAGCTGAATCAAGAATATCAAACTCATGCTCTCCTAAGTTAAAGGAATGAGCCTTGTTGGCGAGATAATCTGCCGCCTTATTACATTCTCAAAGCATGGGAAATGCTCACATCCCAATTCCGTCGTTTGAACTCCTGGAATTGGTGGACAAGATTGAAATACCTTGTTCTCCCTGGTTCCTCCGCAGTCAAAATTTGGTGAGCAGTCGTAGAGTCAATGTTAAGGATGACTTTCTGTGACCTTGCGCCCACGCCAGTTCAAGGCCTAAAATAGCTCCATTCACTTAAGCTCTTGTTATGATGCATCTTCCTAAGTTCGCCACAAAGGCCCCAACGCATCGTGCAAGGTTATTCCTGATTAGGACACCTGCAGCAGCTTCAGAATTTGGTTGTTTGACTAAGTCATCCATGTTCACCACCACCCAGTCTTGGACCGGTGCACTCCAAGCAAGTTGCTGGCTTGTTTTGTTTTGTTGTGGTTGGCTGATCTTGTTGTTGCTTTACTGCGCCTCAAGGATTGTTCTTGTCCAGGTCAGGATTCTTTGTGCAAGGCTGTTGCTATCTTGGCTCCAATGCTCGAAGATGTATTTGTTACGCCTCTTCCAAATATGCCATAGCGCTACTCCAAACACCAGCCCAGTCTGGTGATGCTTTAAGTTGTTGGAAAGCCATCCTGCAAATTTCAGAGCATGTGTAAGGTTGGTGTCCATAACTCCAAGCTTCATCCATACCTGTTTCGGTAGTGGACAGCTCCTAAGCACATGCTCCGCCATCTCTGGTTCCTATTTGCAAAGTTCACAGATGTCTGTGCTGCATAGTTTCCTTCTCTTCTTTTCTACATCGGTCATGATCCTTTCATGGTTGACAAGGCAAAGGAAGTGCTTTATTCGATTGGGCCCATGCCATTTCCATACGCTCTTCCACTGGGTTTGCAGATCGTCGCTCCCCATGCTTTCTCGCTCTCCTAGTAACCAATCTGCAGCAAGACCAAGACCCCCTTCTTCCTTGCACCGACAGATGGTTTCCCAGGTCACTAGGTGGGTTTTATGCTTGGCATCCACTGATCCTTAAACAAAGGACCTAACCTTCTTGTCAATGGTATCACATACAGAGTAAGGTAGGACTGCAGTATGCATTGCATAGTTAGGTAACGTGTTAAGCACTGAGACAACAAGAGTCACACGCCCATCCAAGGATAATTTCTTAGTCTTCCAGCTGGTCAGTCTCTTGTCTATGTTATCCAAGATGTACTTGTATGTCTCATGAGACACGCCCATGAATAATAGGTACACCCGAGGTATTTTCCCAAGTTGTTAGTGCATGGGATGCTCGATGCCCTGCTGATTTTGTCCTTGGCTCGATCCTTCGTTTTTTTTAGAAGTAGATGCACGATTTCTCTTTCTTGATCTTCTCCCCTGATGCTTCGCAGAAACG